AGTCCAGAAGTACACACAAAAAGATACTTTTATCAACGAGGGTAACTTGTGTATAACCAAGAACACGACCAATAAAATTAGATGATGTTTAATGAAGAACTGCAACAGTTGTATTGCTTAGAACAAACTCAAATTGTGTTGACGGCATTTCGACATCTAATGATAAAATGATGTTTTACAATTTTTAATTGTACAAATACTTTTCTTAAATCATTGGTATTATTAAAGTAAACGACAGCACGGGAATAAGAAATGTAATTATGTTTACCTATCATAGCGTTTTGTCGAAATCTTTTGACTGTGTATTTGACAGCAGTATTTATCATAATGTAGACATCCCTCGATGGAATTATTAAGTTATCAATCACCAATAACTTTACTTCGTCAGATTGAACATCCTAAAAGACAACATGAACGTAAAAGTACAAGAAACATCATTAAATAATCTTAGAGTTTTCCTTCCAGCAATAAATTCCATTTGCGATATTACATTTTAGTGTGATAAATGGAAAAGTTTCACCCGTTTCGCTCATTCTAAATGGGTATTACACAGAGTTCTAAATTTTAGAATGCGGAAGATAGCCAATTTAGATTGCTTTCTGTGCTATCCATTGAGTTATATAATAATTGAGTTATATAATTGAGTTATTATAGAACTCAATGGTGCTATCTAAAGGCTATGTTTGTCTCTCCTGACCTCAATATCTCTGGACACAGTTAGTGTGAGACAGAAAAACCATACTCTTTGACTGTGAAAACATACTCTGCTCATTCAAGTTTCACCCGTTTCGCTCATTCTAAATGGGTATTACACAGAGTTCTAAATTTTAGAATGCGGAAGATAGCCAATTTAGATTGCTTTCTGTGCTATCCATTGAGTTATATAATAATTGAGTTATATAATTGAGTTATTATAGAACTCAATGGTGCTATCTAAGGGCTATGTTTGTCTCTCCTGACCTCAATATCTCTGGACACAGTTAGTGTGAGACAGAAAAACCATACTCTTTGACTGTGAAAACATACTCTGCGTCTGGGAAACTTAGTAGGAAAAATATTTCTCTCTCTCCTAATGTTGTTCTTCCCATTCGCACGATCGAAGGTACAAAAAATTTACGTGGAACTGGATCTCGATATGAAAGGAGGAGAGTGAATGAAAACGAATCCTGGAAGTGTTTGCAAGATAATTTACTAAAGTCGTACATCGAAAATTGTGCCATGTTGCCAGGACAACTCTGCGTAAAATGTTTAGAAGATGGGATACCAGCAAAGAAAGCAGAAATTAGATGTCGTGATTGCAGTCACGGACAGTTCTACTGTTTTGAGTGTGCGGAATCCCTTCATCGAACGAGGAATGTTTTCCATTTGGTTGAAGCATGGAAGGTAAGCTTAATTCTTTCTGGCGGCACAAATGAATCCCTATAAAATTTGCCTGCCAGCAAAACATAAACAAGTTAAATCGTCTATTAGAAGGCAATTCTAGGTGATTATTTCCAAAAGTCAATTCTTCAGATGAAATATTTTGCTTTTACATTTGGAATTTGGCTTGTTAAGTCTAGTATTCATCAAATGCTGGCAATTTTTACAACCATGTCTTAACTCTAAAGTAACTTAATCTGTAGTATTTTGTTAAAACTATCAATCATTTTCAAGAAGGATATGCTGCTATATGCTGTGCATGGTGCCTTATGGAATGTATACATGTTCTGATGCTTAAATAACTACTCTTTAGACTGATTGTGAAATGTTTGTTCCATTACTTTTGGTGGTATATTACGGACAGTCAGCATGCTAACTGCTCTTCAACACAATCACGCTATAATATGTGTGGATGGAAAAGGTACAGTATGGCAGCAATGACAGTATTTTGACATTGACTACATGTAAATGTGTATATGTTGGTCATACTGTTAAGTATTAGCTTCATTTAGGCCAATAATTTCTATGTTAATTATTTGCATATCAAATAATCCAATTTTTAATCTCATACAAAATTTGGGTCGGCAGCATTTAAAAATTGTTGAATTCTGTCAGTGTATTAAGGATGCTGAAAAACTAATTAAACTCCAGCTGTGGCCAGGCTCATCTTCTAAACCCAAAATTGCATTTCACTTTGACTTCATGGATTTTGCTGAAAAATTCTTGCTCAAGAGCCATGTATCCTTGCACAAATTTTGCAGCACTGTTGAAGTTGAATATCCTGAAATGCTACCTAGACTGGTATGTATTTCTCATAAACCTGAATTGTGTACCCATATGATAGTCTACCCATCAAATAGTGGAAATAGATGGGTTGTACTTTGCAAAAATTTTATTGAATCACTGTTATTTACAAACAACATAAATAATGCATATTTGCCTCAAATAAAGGTAAGAGCACATTCAAATTATACATGAAGTTTCCTTTGCTTTTATGACATTGTGTATTCAACCTTATTTTATTTTTGAAACAAATGCACAAGTTTACTAGGTGTTCATTTTATTCTTGTTAAGGTCAAAAACATATATAATGTGTTAAACAATGGATCATTCGATGAATACAGGTATGTTATATGTTATAAAACAAAAGTCTATTTACAGTTATTGTAGACCTAATAGTTAGATTATATGTGTAGAGGAGTACAGTCTAACCTGTTTTAAGTACACACCATTGGACAACAGACTAGTGTCAGCTTATTGAAAGTGTCAGCTTGATTGAGGTTTCATCATTATACTTCCATTATTATTAGCTATATGAGATTAAGTTTTGGATTTTACACAGTATCTGCTTAGTACAGGGTCATTTGATACAAGAGGTTTGACTGTATATATTATATCATTTAAGAATTTGATTTTTTTGTCAGATATTTCAAACACCAAGTCAGATTTAGATCATTAAAGTTCATACAGAAAGACCTGATTGATTATAGAAATTGCCCTCTTTGCCCACAAGTCAGTATTTGATTTCTTTTTTCTACTATTTGCTTTGTGAACTATTTTAAATTATATGTTTTTGTCACATATATTATCAGAACATTTAAAGTTGTTGTGAAATATGAAGTTATACATGTTTACCATAAAATTCGTTTCATTTTATTAAAGAGCTTTGTTTGCTTTAGACTGGTGAGTTAGGTGTGGCCATTCATTCCATGGATGCTTGCTTTGGTCTAACTTCAAAAAGTTGGCAGAGAATAGTTTTGCCGTCCCAAACCATGGCTGCCTTAAGTTTGCTGATCAGGATGAAGTAGATGATTTTGTTGATCATTATAGCAAGTCTAATAACAAAGTAGGAGAGGTAATTATTGCATTATGAAGGACTTTGAAGCCTATTCAAAAGTATTCTGTGAAGGGAGGGAGTGAATAGTTTGAAAACAAACTTTAAAAGCAATGGCAAAGCCAGCATTTTTACTTTTACATTGCAAATATTTTTGTATTCAATCACTGAAAAACAATGAATGGATTTGATTTTCTAAAGAAATTACTAACAATTTTGCTGACAAATTTGCATTGTAAGAGTAAAAGATTGGGCATGCTTCACCCTGAGAAAAGTGGGTCTATGCTTCATGCAGGTCCATGGGCCTTGATACATACGTGAGTAGCTACGTGGATTTAAAATCAAAATTACAAACAGCCAATTTTTTTCTTTTCCTTTAATTTATCATTCTTATGCATGGTCTATGACTTGATTGTGTAAACTGTCATGTTTACTTTTACAGTAATAAAACAATTGTTATATATGCGCTAATCTATAATGTGCTCCACCTTATTTTAGAGTTGTCAGTATTCAGAATTTTGTATTCGCTGTTCCTAATCCAAAGCATTTTAAAAGATGCTGACCAAAGTCCTGGTGTTGATTTAAAAATAATGTATGATATTGGATGTGTATTATCCTCACATTTAAAGGTATTTTAATGTTAGCATGTATGATGTGGGACAAGTTCATTCACCAACTAAACTTTGAATAAATTGGTACCGTTCTAGGCAAACAAGAGGCATGACATTTTGTCAAAAGTGTCAATTTCGTTGCCGATATTTCATTGTTATGGACACAAGGCTTCATGCCAGGTAATGAATAAAGCATTTTCCCTAAGAAATTTATGTATATCAAACCATCAAGCGATCGTAATTGGGGTTTATGGAGCACAATTTCAAAATCTCCAATCATTGTATATAAGAAACAAAATTTAACGAAAATGTCTTGCATGTTACGACAACAAGCAGCCACTAGAATCTTATCCAAACTAGAGCACCCCTCCCTCCAGAAAAGTACATCCCTGGTAATGATGTAGCGATTGAAGAAAGACAATCTTTTCTGCTCTGGTTTCTTCCTTGATTAAAAGCCCCGTAGGTAAAATATTATTTTTAGTGTCTTCAAAAACAGGTCAAATTCAGTCCTAGAAGGCTCGATGGTTTTGGTCTTACAGATGGTGAGGCTATTGAAAGGCTTACCTTCGTGGGTTCTCAGCAATTAATAAGGAGATGTCTGCCAGTAGAAGAGTAGATCTTTTGACAGACGCGCTTCTTCAGTTACCTTGAAGAAATTTTAGCAATGCAGGTGCTTGAATATTGTCATTGCTTTATGTGTAACTATGCGTTGACACAATGAAAATGTTTTATTTGTTTGTTGCGCCTTAATTGTTTTAATTTTTGTATATGATTTGTTTCAGGAAAATCGTTAACGTCGAAGCTTAAAAAATGTCTACAACTTAAAATTAAAACGCAACAAGAAATGAAGGATTTATTTAGCGAACTACCTGGTAAGTAGTTCTGGTAGATTAGAAATTTCTTATGTTTTCTGTGGCCGAAAAGTATTTAAGATTTCTTTTTGCCTAACCAAACTCTCAATTCAATTTGCATCCAAGGAAATACGAATTTATTTTGTTTGTTAGTGACGTACGATCCTGAAATTGTTTGTCAGTGGGAGGCCAGCGAGAAGAAATTATGTCAAGAGTCTACCCAGGTACATAATGTCATTCATGGCAAATAGTTTCAAAATTTTTTCGTTTAAGAATTCTCTAGTTTCGATTCTTCAAAATTTAGAATCCTTTCGATACGAGAAATCCTCGGGATTTGAGGTACTTTATACGATAAATTGAATTTAAGTTATATAGCTTTAATAACTCTCATCTGTCCATCGTAACTTTGCTATACTTCTATGGATTAATTATGTTTTATCCGTGATAGTTGAGCATTAGAGCGTCGCATGTTAACTAAGGGAACCACATAATCCTTGTTTGTTTGCCATGAAACATATGGATGGTTTGCTCGTGATACAAGAGAAACAATAAATGGGAGAGTTAAACCAGAAAGATATAAACTGATAAAAATGCTATAAAACATGTTTAAAGTTGTCTTTATTTATAAATGCAAAGACTAGAAGTCTCTAGTTTTTTTTAAATAACTACAATTCTCATAAATAGAAAGTATATTTTGTAAATTATATGAATGAATAGAAATAAATATAGAAAAGACTGTATTCATACTTATATAGCAAAGCAAATCTTGTGGTCTTTTCAACATTTCAAAAAGGGATGTTGCATGATCATGGTTGCTGTAAGATCAGTATTTACTCTCATTATACAAGAAAATGACCCAACAGCATTCATTTTAAGGAACTTCACAACTTGTGAATAGTTAGATATTGCAAACTGAACTCATAAATATACTTTGATAGTTCCATACGGGTTTCTTAATAAAAACTGTTCCAGTAAGTAAATGACAGTTAAAAACTTGAAAATACAAATGTTTGAATATTGTCAATAATGTATTTATACCTTTTATGAATATAACCCTGTTGTTATTTGAACCTTTGTTAAAAGAAATCTACAATACAACTGTTTTTAATCAGCTTTAGTATAAAAAGAAATACCTAAAATGAAAAGAGAAATTGATTTTCTTCTTTATTGAAATTGAGCTTCAAATTCATTTCCTCTTCTTCTATCTCCTTGCACATTACCTCAAAGACAGGAGAATTTTAGCTTCTAGCAAATAAAAGATAATTAGAAGTCCAAATGCTTCAGTTTCAATATCTATAGTTTGTTTATAACCAAATGAAGATTGTTGTATTTTATTGCAGTACATGTTCAGGTCCAAATGCCTTTCGTTTCAATTTCTTTCGCTCGTTCATAAAAATCTTTTGCTTTTTCGTACTCTCCCATCATACTGTAAACCAAACCCAGATTGTTGTACATTGTCGCAATATTAACATGTTCAGGTCCAAATGTTTTCGTTTGAATTTCTATCGCTCGTTCATAAAAACTTTTTTTTTCGTACTTTCTCATATTTTTGTAAGCCGAACCCAGATTGTTGTACAATTTCGCAATATCAACATGGTCAGGTCCAAATGCTTTAGTTTGAATTTCCATCGCTCGCTCATAAAAATCTTTTGCTTTTTCGTAATCTCCCATGTTATCGTAAACCGAACCCTGATTGTTGTACGTTGTCGCAATATCAACATGGTCAGGTCCAAATGTTTTCGCTTCAATTTCTATCGCTCGTTCATAATAATCTTTTGCTTTTTCGTACTCTCCCATATTTCTGTAAACTAAACCCAGATTGTTGTACGTTGTCGCAATATTAACATGGTCAGGTCCAAATGCTTTCGTTTGAATTTCTATCGCTCGTTCATAATAATCTTTTGCTTTTTCGTACTCTCCCATACAATCGTGAACCGAACCCAGATTGTTGTACGTTGTCGCAACATTAACATGGTCAGTTCCAATTGTTTTGGTTGAATTTCTATCGCTCGTTCATAAAAATCTTTTGCTTTTTCGTACTTGTCACTGAGTTGTTCGTTTCGTTGGGTTCGTTAGGTTTGTAAGTGTTAAGTTTGATAAAGTCAGAGTTATAGTTGTTTTTGTCAAAAACACGTTTCAGATAGTTGTTTTCATTTTGTAGAGCGTCCGGTGAATCACATATGATTTGTGCACGTCTTGTTAATGTTCTGATTGTGGTGGCTTTGTGTGATGTAGGGTTGTAAGATGATTGGTCTAGTAGTCGGTCAGTATGTGTTGGCTTGCGATAAACTGTTGTTCGCAGTTTTTGATTGTCATGTTTTGCCAAACAGTCGAGAAAAGAAAGAGTTCCGTTTTCTTCGACATCTTTGGTAAATTGTATGTGGCTGTTCTGTTTGTTGATGTGAGTATGAAAGCCATTAATGTCGCCTGCATGTAGTGCTGTGATTGTGTCATCTACGTAGCGAAACCAAAAAGGTAGTGCATGTTTGTAAGTCGTGAGCGCCCGTTCCTCTACAGATTGCATTACAATTTCAGCAACTACAACAGAAACGGGCGAGCCCATTGCCGTCCCATGTAATTGTTTGTAGTGTGTTCCTTTGTATTGAAGTAAGTCGAGGTGAGGCAGAGCTCCAGTAACTCCATAATGTCTTCTGTCGGTAATGGCAGTACGTCCGTGGTGTTTGTAATGAGGGTTTTTGTACAAGTAAGTGCCAGATTAACTAGAATACTGGTGAACAGTGATTTCACATGAAAAGACACTAGTATATAGTTGTCCGGTATTTGTATAGTGCTCAATTTTTTAATGAAAGTTTCAGTGGATTGTAGCTTATGTTTTGATTTGTTTGTAAGTGGTTGCAGTATGTTAGTCAAGTACTTTGAAAGTTCGTAAGTAGGCGAACCACAGAATGATACAATTGGTCGCATGGGTATTTGTGGTTTGTGAAGTTTTGGTAGTCCGTATAGTCTGGGTGGTCGTGGTACTGAACATCTGAGTCGATAGTAAATACGTTCATATATAATGTTAGATTTTCTCATAGAAGATCTTGCTGTTAAGTTTGCGTACTAGTGATGGTGTTGGGTCTCGTTTGAGTTGTTCGTACGTTTGTCTGTCGTTAACAAGGGTGTCCATTTTGTTAAAGTAATCATTCCTGTCCATGACCACAGTCACGCGTCCTTTGTCTGCTGGTAAAATGACAAACAAAAAAATGTTAGTAATGATTGCAATGATCATTAGTTGACCATTTATTTTCCATTCCAAATCATCATGCTTTCATGAACAAGTAATTTCCTATACATACAAGTATTACTAATGTACGACCAATTTACTATGAGTTCAATTGAGTTAAACAGTTTTTCTTGTTTGTACCTTGGACGGATTTTCTTGTTTGGGGTATGTTCTCCACTTATATCAGATTTCGCCCTTCTATGAAACATTTTAACCGCCCTATAAATTTTTAGCGAAAGAAATCAGCTGTACGGTACTGATGAAATGAGATTTTCTGCTCAATATTTTAACTTTTTATTCCACCTTTGTTGGCTACACGATTCGACTGCCCCTAAAATCCACACCCTTACCATGTCTTGCGTCGTCCCCTCTAAAATATTTTACATCACTCCTGTAAAAAATAAGAAAATCCGTCCGTGGTTTGTACGATAACGAGGCGCGATGATTATTTGTTTTCAATTGTATCAAAGATAAGGAAACACAAAAAGAGAAGGCGTGGTGTTGACTACAATGCCGAAATACCATTTGAGAGAAAACCAGCTCGGTATGTATAAAAAGTGAAGTTCTCCAGGAGGGTGGTTTGTCATCGAGTATTCATTAGAAGTTTGTTGATGCTGCAGGACTGTACTAACCTGGAAAACGATCTACATCTACAAACATGTAACGGTACTCCCGGGCTCAAACCATTCACTTTAACACGTAGAACTGTTGTTTGAAAAATTTCAATTACATCTGTATGTTGAGCATTTTCTCTTTTTCACTTATATTTTCCCACCAAACCTGTGTAATTTTAATGCCTCTAATTTCAGTAACTAATCGATCTTAGCTCTTCTCGGCATCGTAAGACCGTAAGCTATGGTATGCGTAGCTGGAATTTGTTTCGGCGAGAGGTGTAATTTCATTTGCCGACCGGGGATGTAGAGAACGTAATTGCTTACTTAATCAGTAGAACGTCAAATCAAGATGGTGCCATATTCACTTCTTTAGCGAGTTTGTCTACAAGTGCGAAATTTGAATGTACTGTGTTGCTGGAAAAAAGTGCGAGCGAACAATGGTTTTGTGTAGAATACTTTACTTTTTGATGCAGTCATAACTGTACTTTTGCACCAAATGGACGTACTTCTGACTCTTAACTAGGGCCCCGTACTGCCCTAGCGAGAACACTAATTGAGAGGAGGGTGTATGTTCTTTGAGTTGTGCATGACTGAGTTGTTTTGAAAGTGATTTGGCTTTCAAAAGAAATCGTTTGGGTGCAACTGAATGTATAGATGCTAACGCTCCTCCCACCACCATCCTAACCCTTCCCCGATCCCGATCCCTAATTAATGCTCTAGCTACGACCCTTATCTTAGTCGTAGTCGAAGTTTTTTCCTAAAGCTGTTATCGCTCGGGTAATTACGCGCTTGGTTTCTATAATTTATCATACAAACCTCGCTCTAACACAGCTAGTTTGCAATTTAGCTGTACGTAGCCTCTTGGCGTTCTCTTTTTCTTGTTCTCTTCTCTCTCGCAGTTGTTGTGCGAACATTACATGTTGGCGTGCGATTTTTATTCAGTTCAGTGTTTTCCCTATAGGATTTTACGATACCTCCGATGAGAACGTGACGCCCATCCAACTTGAATTCAAGAAACTACGACAGGACCGAAGGTCGAGAGTTCTTACAACCGTCTCCGACACTCTCCGAGGTTTGCATAAGCCGGGAAAATTCCTAACATTTAATGCGCGGCAACTTTTATGTAAATTTACGAACGGCATGAACGTCTTTCTTTATTTCATCGTGTTTTTGTTTTACTCCAGGTTAAATAATCCTGACCATATCAAAAAGCGCAGTAAACTTGTTATTCCAAAACCGCAGGTTTCGGATGCCAAACTCGAAGAGGTAAATGGACACGTAATTCACGACGTTATTCCAAAGCCATCATCAGAGATTATACATAATATAAATCCTAATTTACTCTTAAATCCTTAATCCTGATTTAGGATTTAATTAACGACGATTCATTGTGTTTTATTGCAACTACCTTTTTTTACAATATATTGTTCATGTGACTTGTTCATGTGACTTCTTATAAGCCCTCAAGATGGGTTTTGCCAGCGAGAGCGCACGTGCAAGCGTCGAAGACGAAAGCACCGCATCCGACGCTTTACTATCTGAGTACTCTGTTACCCCTGGCAACCTCAATCAACTAAGGACACCACGTACACCTGCTTCGCAGGACACTGTTTTGCAGGTACATGGACGAACTGTAATTCATATTCAGCCTTTTGCCAGTCTTTATAAATGTCTTCTGTTGAGGCACGGATCCATTTTCTTTTAATTGTAGTTTTTTTTTATTGGAAAACTTCTTCGGCATTGCTTCCGTACGTGTATCTTTATCATCGAAAAACGCTTTGGGAAAAAATACGGGTGTAGGAAAAAAAAGTAGACGATATTGAAATTTTTAGCGAACTATGAATTTAGCCATGCATCTCGTAGATTTGTGCCAGTATTTGTACTTTTGCATCCTGAGCATCATTAGTTCAATCTGACTCGAAAAACAATCCGAGAATGTTCAACCTCAAACAAAGAAAGAGCGGTTTGCAAAAACCGTATTTTGAAGGGCCTGTGCATCGTGGACCATGAATTCAACCGAACATTCCATAAATTTGTGCCAGTATGTGTACTTTAACATCCGCTTTTAAATCTAACACCAAAAACAAACCGAAAATCAACCTCGAAAAGCACCTTTATAATCTTATGTCAATACTATAGTCGAATCGAAGGGGCTGTTGCCTCTTTCACCACAGCTTTTAGAAACTTGGCAGCCACAGCTACCATTTTTTAGTTATCATGGGACTGCTACACGAAGCCCGGATAACGTTATCCATTGGATAGCAAATTTTGTAAACAGTTAAAATACTTCTCAAAAAGGAAAAATATAAGGTTCGAACTGAGCAATAACTGAAATAAAATATTGTCGTAACTAAAATATAAACACTTTTTTACAACTTTAAAAAATTTTCTATCCAATGGATAACGCTATTCAAGCTTCGTGCTACAGCCCCCTGAACTATATTGCGTTTTTTGTCTGGAGTGTTGTACACGAATGTTTTTGAATAGTCTACATTCATTTGATCGTAGTCAATGTTCGTGATTTACACGACGTTTTGACCTCTCTTCTCCTACTTTCAGGTGATGTTTCTGCCATCTCAAGAGAGATACACGAGAGCCGCCCTTGCCAGCAAGAAAGATAGATTGGAATCGTTAGAGAAGCGACTTGAGGTAGATTTATCGATCACTTGGAAGCTAATTTATCTTTTAGCGAAATAACGTCGAGGAGTTTCGTCAACAATGTAAACTGCTGTTGCCAAGTGCGCATTTAATTTGATTTGAAATGTGATCTTGAATCGGAGAGATTTATACCTTTGTTAATCGGATTCGATTGTATCTTTGGATATACCATTACTGGTCAGCGGTTCACTAGTTTTTATTTAATGCAAAATTGGCGTCCGAACAAAGGGTGCGGCCTATGTGGTCGACTTCTGTTGTTTGAAAATTCATTTTATACAGAAAGGAAGTTGATTCTGTCGCATAAATCAATTTGAATCGCTTTTTCAACGTTGAAAACCGTATAGTATCTACTGTATTTAGTATCTACTGTATATGAATAAACAGCAAGAAGGCGTCTAGGATTGAGAAAAAATTGAAAGTGTTGCTGGGTGGCTATCAGGTACGTTGTTTGGCTTTCTGATATACCTTTGAAATTGCGTTGTATATATAGGACGTAAAGGATTTGATGTTGGATGTCATATCTTCATTGTTTTTTGTGTAATTTGTCCATTAATCATCATACAATTAACCCTTTGGACACATCGTTTTGTCCGTTTAACCTATTGATAACTTCATCATATCCAATTATCCATTAATGATTTCATTTCATCCAATTAACCTATCGATAATTTCATTATCCAGATTACCATTAATCACGTCTTTTTATACAATTAGCCCGCTGATCATTTCATTTAATTCAATTAACCACTGACAACTTTATTATATTCAATTAACAGTTAATCATTTCGGGCATTTCACTCAATGATCTCCATATTTATTATCTAATTGACCTGTTTTTCTGAATGATTAATCTGCTAAAAATCCGCTTCGTGTGCGTCTTTTCAGTCTCGGGCTGTTTGCTTCATAAAACAACTTTCTGACGCGAATGACCAAGTTGAACAGGCTTACGTCGAGAAACGAACGTTTGAGGAATTGCGAAATCAGGAAACTAAGGCTATACCAAAACGACTCAACGTAAGTTTTCGTTAAATTTACGTTTTCTTGATATGCCGTAGTCTTGCTATTGAAGCGCCTGTTGTTGAAGCTTGGTGTTGTATACTCCTGTCTAGTGTCTTCATCAGAAGTGATTTCATGTAAAACTTGAGTCCTTACATACTCCTGTCTAGTGCCTTTATCAGGAGCGATCTGTTGTAAAACTTGGTTCTTATATATTTTGTCTGTTGTTGTATTTTAACACTTGTATAGCCGTATTCATGTGTACGTTGCACCATTTGCTCAACATTAGCGCACAGTGGACATTCAATTACACGCTTTGCTAGAATATTCATTAACTGGAACGTGCATTCAATAAAATCAAAGAAAGGAACATTAAGATAAAGCATACATTCAAATAATCTTAAACTAACTCTTTCTCAACAGAAATAATCATTCGCAGATCGTCTGTCCCAACTGTAACACCGCACTTCTCTGTCATATAAAGTGTTGTTTATGTTTATTTGAATGTCTGCTTTATCTTAATGTTCCTTTCTTTGATTTTATTGAATGCACGTTCCAGTTAATGAATATAGAAAATTTATTCACAAACACTGTATTGAAAATTTATTCACAAACACTGTACTTTCTTCTTTTATATTCGTTTTCCAAATGTAGGCATGAAAACCTAAAGACCTTGAAAGGAGATGCTTACAAATTAGAGAGTTTCGTCGATGAGATTGCCGAGAAAGATGCTGTCATGTCGTGTGACGGCTCAAATGCTCGTGGTATTGGTCAAACTACCACGATATACTCTGAAACCGTCAAGATTATCTTTGAAGCCATGAAAAGGTAGTTTTCACGTGTAGGGCTGTTCTGCCGTTGTATGTTTATGGACAAGTGTTTACACACATTTCAATGGTTATATTTGAGGTTAATATCTTTATCATGCGAAATCATCACCATTTCCATGGCAATGCCCCGGGGCAAAGATTTAGAACCCATGGGGTGACGCAAGGACGCCATCTTGAAAGTTGGCAAAAAGCAAAAATCCATGTAAAAAATAAGTTAAAGAAGGTTGAAAAACCCACTCCTATCAAACATTTTAAAAACCAAACCTAGACTATAAACTTTACAACTGTATATCAACTCAGGAAAAGCAGATATTAATCCTAAATGCCTTCAGTTTTACCACCTTTCAAGATGGCGGCTTGCCTCACTCATAACCACTTCGTAACTTTTAGCATTTTGGAGGAGTCAGATATGTAGTATATTGGGCTCTAGGTCATTGATCCGGGAGCTGACACTTTTTGCCTCTGCTAGCCATTTCTTTAACTTGTAGGGATAATTATAATTAGTCTGTTATACAGCTGGCTATATGTATTTTATCCAACATACATCCATGTTACAACTTACGAGTAAAAATGAAAAAGCAATCCTTTGCAGTGACAAAAATGGCCATTTTATCTGGTATTCAAAGCTCACTAACGAAGAAAGCTTAGCGTCTATAAACATTCCCTGCTGCTAGCCATGCTCAAAACCTTATAAGGTATTGCTTCGTGTGATTAGCTCAACCCGATAGTCCAGTCATCGTGCAAGTTCGGTCATGCTAAATAAATAATCATCGTTCATTTGTTAAGAAATGTATAGGGTTAAAATTCTGTGAACGGCAAAATATTTTAAAACCAATAACCAATAATTAACTTACTAACTTTTACATCTTTGTGTTATGTTTATGCGTTTGAGTGTGATTGACATCAATGTAATAAAGTCGAGTTGGTTTTAAAACTCTACTTGATCAATTTTTGAAGAAGAGCTGCGGTTTGTTGTTTTAGTTCATCATTTATCTTAGGACTTTTTATGGACCTATGCTTTTTGAAAGAATATGCAACGCTTTGTTCTGTTAACTTCGCTTTGAGCTTTGTCCTGTAGTTTAGAAACAAAACTTTCAGTATTTTTTTCATTTCGACACAGACACTCCGTGAAACGTTTCGTTGCTGTTACAAGTTGGTGCGGTAAGAAAACTCCTCAGAATCCCTGGTTTTTCGAATGGATTATCCGTCCTCTGTACATTGGCGGTGCTAAGTGACTCTGAAGATGACTACCGGTAAGGTTGTCGAAACGTCAGTCAACAACAAAATCCTAGTTCTCAGGACTATACCAACCTGGACGATCTACATTTACAAACATGTAACGATATTCCCGGGTATAAACCACTTACTTTATAAGTTGGTTTGTCAAACAGGACCTCGCAACATGGACTTAACCCTCAAACGCTCTCTCAACTGACTTTGTAGAACATTTTCTATGTCAGAACAGATTTTTCTAATACTTATAGTGCTTTTCCGTAATATCATTTGTTTTTTGATTATCAGAGTGAACACGATAGATATATCATTACCTATATCAATGATAGATCAGTGTGACACATGGCAGATAAATCTTTACCAAGTGAGATTCCCTTATCTACTCAGAAACTAACCACAGCAATTTCTTCTAGTCAACCATTCTTTTCTATTAGCTATGATGCATAAACTTGAGTTACTTGAATAATCACTTTTTTCTTGTTTTATTGAATAGAAATCATAGTTTTTGCTTCATTTTTTAATTATTTACAATGTTAGTCTTGTTAGGGTTAGGGTTACAATGTTAGTCAACGGTCTACTCAAAATGAAAACGTTCTACACAAAATGAAAACGGTCTACTAAAAATGAAAACGATCTACACAAAAAAATTTATAACCTCTATCTGGAGAACACAAAATATGTTGCGATGTAAACAGTTATTGCTTACCCTTTTTTTGTAAAGCTTTTTTGCAAGCTAAGATGATCGCAACAACAATGATTCCGAAAACAAAAGCAAATGCAGTTGCCGATATAAAAACAGTTGTAGTTAACCAGGATTCGGTTGACGACCCTGTTATGTCATTGGCTGGTTTTGTTGAACCTGTAAAATTGAACAATATGCATTGAACAATATGCACTATCATACGATATCCAAAAGGTTTTTGTTGTAGAAGATCGAGTTTCACACAAAATTAGTAAGGCTCTAAAATCTATTACTGTGCAAAAATAAAACGGGCAGAAACAAACTAGAATAAAACAGGCAAGAAAATTTTAATTTCAAGATAACATCACACATTTTCCTTACCCGTTTTCTCAACGATTTTCCCTGATGGCCAAGATGATGGTGTGATCTTCGTATTTTCTGGAGTGATCTTTTCATTTTTTGGTCCGCTTATAACACCAGATAGCTTTGTTGCCAAGGTTATTTTAGATGACGATGAAGGCTGACGAAAGGTCAGCAAAGAAAGCGTTGGTTTTTCGGTTGAAGCAACTGGACAAGAAGAAATATCACAATCCTTGTCCAACGTAAGACCTGAGAAATAAAAATATTTGAAGCAAACGTGTGAAATTTTTTTTGCGCCTCAACTTTCTATGCAATTTATGGACAAGGATTGAAAACGTTATAATACGAAACGAAATAACAAGGTAGTCATACCTTTTTTCTCAAAGTTCATTCCATAAACTGACTTTTTATCTCTTGTAACGTAAACAGCAAACAATATGGAACATTTTGCTTTCTTGCTTGATAAACTAGAAAATGTACCATCACCATTGTCTATATAAGATATAAAAAGCATGTATCTATCGATGTTTTACCATTGAATATCGTTTAAAGATGACAATTTTCTGTAGCTATAAAGCTTGTCCTTATATTGAAAGCCTGGGGAAAATAAAATTGCATGATTTCCACTGAAAGCGTAAAAATATGACTAAAAGAAAGTAGTATAAAGATATAACATAAAAATAAATTTATTTCACAAATTAAAGTGATCATCGAGTGACTTCTTCATTATTTTAAAAGTATTCATTACCCCTCAATGTTTTTTCATAGTGCAACTATAGCAGATTCGACAAAAATGATCTCATTAATATTTACTCTTCATTAAAAAAAAATCACGATATTAGATCATATTAGATCAATGCATTCTAGTAATACAATGAAGATATGATGTATTTTTTTCATGTACACCAAAAACAACCTAGCATGCAAATATTGTTCACACTTTTTTGTGTAGTCAACAGTCCAGTTCAGGTTTTAGCACATGAACTACGCTTACCGGATTTCCACTTGCAAAAAGCATTCGCGCGAATCGAATCGTCTTCCATCGATTTTCTTTTTGAAGTTGAACTAATCACGATGCAAATATAGATAAAAAACATTTTGCAGGCCAACTTTACGAGAGAAAAATGCATAAGCCTAATGCATGACCTGTTGACAAAACCTATCCGAAATAGGGCTATAGGGCACGCAAACATGCGTTCACATAGGCCTTCTTTCACAACACTCGCGCGCTCATTAATAAGCAAATGAAACGTGTCTTACTAACGTACTACGGAACTTAATCTCACGAAAATGAGACACTATCATTTATATGCATTGGTGGCCTAAACCGCATTACAACAATGTTACGATTACTTCGAACTTGGAAGTGCAACAGAAAGAACGCGCGCTATTTGGTTTCGTTTCATTTCATACATAAATTTCTTTGTGTAAAGAATGTTCGACCAGACGGTTTATGTTAAAAATAACCACGGCAGGAAATTACTGCTCAAACACGTTTCTTCTAGACGTTCGTCATCGTGATTAAAATTCCTTTTGGTTGATGCATATTTCTATGTTATCATCAACTGTTTTTGTCATTCACGATGAGAGGATTAATTGGATACCGACATATACCGTTTTGTGAAATTACCAACACAGCACAAGTTAAGTTTGAATCTATGTAGGTCGGCGGATGAAATGCTTCGTACATATTACTGGATGTTTACCGTTCTCGTCCGCCACAGATTCATAAATTTATTTTCCAATTATCGCGTTGAAACAAGGCAAGTTCTAGCTCAATTTGTAAACTACCGAGCTCCTTTTCCAAATCACCGTTGCTTCGCTGTAAACTGCTGGCTTCGTCGATCTTCTTTTGTCGAAAAGACTTGGCATATTCTCGATTCTTCAAAGTCCGCCTACGATGCTTAATCTGCTGGACAATCCGCGGCTGCAGATGTCGCACTCGCCTGTTCAGTTCCTTAGTATCCAGAGCTATCAAATCCTCATCATTGATATACTCTTCTGTGTTCACTGGTGAAACGCAAGGTACTTCGGCTTCGGGACTTGAAATTGGACTAGTGTCGACAAGTGGATATGAAGAACTTGACGTACTGGACCTTACTCGATTCCTTCCACGTTGCTTAACTTGTTGAACACTTCCAGCGTGATGTTTGTTGACATTGCTGTAGGAATGTAAATCTTCAATATTTTCAGTCGTTACTATCTAAACAATCAAATGAAACATTGACAACCATAGGATCAACTCTAACCTTGATGCCAAAACAAATTATAAAAAGGTAGCTTGAACTGGAATTCTTTGCTACAGAGAACACATTGTGTATATCACAATTATGTTTTGCTCCTTTTAATCATGTGAAATAAAACTTTGAAATAAAAAATGTTAACAAAAGGTGTCTCTGGAAAGCATGAAAATGACCAGGCACATAGTAAGTTAGTAACCCAGGGGTCAGCTGTAAAAAGTCAACATACCTGGACAGGCTGGACTGTAATAGAACTAGAATTAGAACTGTTTTGGCTTGGGATGTCATCAGCCGTTGATGCCTGCTGATTGAGAAAAATACTTAAAATCTGAATCAACGAAATATCTTTGCTCGTGCTCAATGCTCATCTGTTAAATTTGTTTCAAATCAACAAAGACAAACTACTGTTGGATTGATATAAACTAAATGCGAAATAACTCTCTCATTTATCTCTGCTTAAAGGACATTGGCAACGAAAATTTTTCTTTCATACGTTTATCATAGATAGCTATGGAATACTTAATTTCGTGTTTTCGTGTCTCTTTTGAATTTTGCTGTTGAGAAAATTTGACATAAATTTGAATCCTTATCCGCCATTTTGAAAAAAGGCATGCTAAATTATGCCAGAATACATTACTGACGTCATTAGCTGGTATCCACTGAATGACACAATATAAAATAATAGTATTATATAATATATAGCACATTTGTTCCCTGGAATTTTAAAACAAAAACAACAGTCGGCGGTTGTTAAGATTAACAAAAGTTGTGTAGTTTATCACGCTTATATACTTTTCCAATATTTAGTCGTTATAAGACGTAGAAACGTTTATTTTAGCAGATCTTACAACTAGGTTTTGCCGACATACCAAGTGTAAGCCCAGACAACAACAAGCGCGTTTTATACTCTGCACATTTCGTGCAATAGAAATATTTCATTTTCCCATATTACAAACCTGTGACCAACAAATGAGTTATACGTTTAATTTATTATTTGTATACATAAGAGTCTGAAAGATTATGTAGTTTTATATAGGTGATAAGCTCTAAGCCGCTATGTTTTGTTCTTGACTGTAGAGTTTCGTTTATCCGTAATGTTTTACGTGCGTGTTTGCGTGCACAATGTACAAAACACTTTTCGATTAACTTTATAACTTATGAATGAATACAAGTTTTGGGTGGATCACTCATGCATTTTGCTTTTGCGCAGTTCGTGACAATCCTTCGATAATGATATGGCATCGCAATTGCAGATCATAACAAAGAACATCAAAGAGCGTCTGTCTAAGACTAAATTTACGGTCTTTCGTGATAACATGCGTATTTAAAATGTGTATAAAGTCCGTCTGGTGACACGAAGCGTTTTCGTATGCTAGCATAAACACAAGCAGGAAATGGTCTTCGATGTTTCTTCCCCAAAATTTGAAAAATCCACCTAGAACATCTTTGATAGGCAACTAATCGATACAGCTTTTGTATTCTCTCTAGATCCTCATCACACAGGGGCCAGTTTTCTTCAAGATGCCGACACGTCTATCTTTAACACACTTTCTGAGAGCATATTGTCCCTAAATTCTTGGTGTGCTGTCAAGAAATTTACTCCTTGAGTTTCTGTTTGGCCTAGCAAAGCCTCATACTCATCGTATTCAAGCGCTTTTTCGTGGCAACAAAACACTCGATTGCCTTTTTTGACAAAGTAGAATGTCCACACTTACACCAACTAAGAGTTTGAAGGCGCTAAGCATTTGCTTTCTCAAATTCAGCATGTATTTCATCCTCCGACGAGGACAAGTCGCTCTGCTCACTCTCCTGTTCGGAACCGCTTTCTTCACTAGTTTCGGCCTTCACTTCAGGTTCATATTGATAGGACAGAACCTCACCCGGTTGATTTTCGTGTATGTCATCCATTACAGCAAAAAAAAAACCGTAAAATACGCTTTAAATGTGTTGTAACGCAGTCAATCACAAAGTATATTGTATTGTTGTTTTGAGCAGAGCCCTCTATGTTGTTTTGAGCAGAGCCCTCTATAGTATATATATATATATAAAGTATATTATACTATAGGGCTCTGGTTTTTTAACTCACCAGCCAATGACGTCACTACCGCTCGAGATAATTTTTTCAAAATTTTATCCAAGATGGCACAATTTGTAAAACTTTTGCTGCAAATTTCTCAGCAACAAAATATTTTTGAGAAAAAATTTTTCTATTTTAGTTGTTAGACATCACAAAGTTCATGTTCTCCAACGTTGTTTCCCCTGTCTCCGTTTCTTCTGAAGCCATTTTTCTCGTTACTATTTCTTGAGTTCTTTAGTATCCCGTCGGAGGTGCCACTATGTCGAGAATTTGCCTCCGCTTTTAGATCGTAGTCCTCGAAAACTCACAGATATACGTTTATTTAACTAAATATATTGTACTCATGCAACCCCAAGTTGCCGTTTTGAATACAGTCACTGTGCACGTACGTTTGCTCTTATTCTAATCACAGTACAGATACTAAAGAATAATCGTAATGGTACATCACTATCTAAGTACATGATTTAGAGGAATACAATCACTATCTATCCACTTCTAAGTCCCTCCTAATAAATGTAAATCTTTATGTGTTGAAGAGATATACGTAAGGCACACACTGACACCATAGAATAGAGCTATGCTGACACACAAACACAGTTATTTCTTCACATCATTTCCGGAATCATTTCGCTATAGCAAGTATCTAACGAAACATTACCTCGTTTACTTACGGTTTATTTTTTTTCGTTTGGCTCGGCTCGCAAACTAAAAAAAGAAACACGCTGTCTTCATCAAAAAAGTTCTTGGGGAACTACTACATTCTTAGAAGTGTAACAAGCTACAAAAACAAACATAAAGCGCATAGTGACTTAAATCGACACCTTAGGATACACACTGGGGAGAAACCTTATCAATGTGAAAATTAATTTTAACTGAACCATTGCTCTCTTCAGACAACAGACGAGGAGATGTCGAAGGTATTGTTATTCCAGAAGAAATTAACGAAGCCCCTCTAAAGGCAACCCCAAAACCAGGGAGAAACAGTACTTCAAATAAAGAAACGTTGCTTAAAAAAATGGGAACAGAAGAATCAATTCATGACAACGACAACGAAGTAGCAACAAAACCTGAAATAAATAAAGAGAATGTTCAAAACGCAATTGAAATTGTTGAAAATCACCATGATATTACTGAGAAAAAGCCTGCAGGTTTATCTAGGAACGAGGAAGACAAATGTGAACCAAAAATTGTCCTAGAATGCCAAGAGATGAAAAGCATGAGAAACAGTAAGAATTCTGATGATGTCTCAAGTCCAATAGTCCAAACTGAAAATGTGCAGAACCAGAAGGAGTGAATGATGAGGACGACAAAGTTCGACATCATGATTCTCAATTGAAAGCAATTGATAATGTGACAGAAGAAAGTAATAATGTTGAAAGAGAAAGAAATAATGGATAATGAGAAGAAACAAAGTGAAACTGTGACTGTAAAGGAAATTCAATTAGATGATACCAAGAACAGTGACACATCATCAGAAACATCTTCTACTGACAAACCAAGAAAACCAGACAGGTATTTATAACAATTGTTTTTAATAACAGTACAGTATTTTACACAATGAAATGTTTAATATCCAAGTTTGAGCAGGGCTTCCAAGAGAAGAAATCGTTCTTTGAATTCAACGGGACTTGCCAATGCTGCTAAAAGGAAAAGGCAGACAAGATCGTCTGCAGGAAGTGAGAGAAGCCGTCGTTCAAGATCAAGATCAAATATTCCAGAGTTGAAACCCCAGGAACTCACTGTACCTGTAACACCACAATGCCTGAAGTAAGAAGAAGAAAAAAATCGACTCACACATATTGCTAGGGAGTAATAACAGATAGGATTGAGTTACATTTTACATAATCTTTTGTTAAGGCGTCAGAAAACCAACAAGCCTACAATGATCAAACTGAAAACAACCGAAGAACTTGAGATGGAATGCATTGCTAAGCTTCGCAAGCAAACCAAGAACCACATCAAAGCAAATGAGAACATGATGAAAAAAGCATTTTCATGTACCTCGGTTAAGCCAGTAAAAACAAATTGCATTAGTCTAACACAACCACAGGAGTTTAATTTTCAAACTGAAAGAAGGATAAAGCAAAATCCAGAAATATCAAACCAATCATCAGACACAGTTAGTGAAGATGTTGAAAAGGGATTTTGGAACAGTTTAAGACAACATCCACCTTCACCGGTAAACCTAAAATCTAACTTTTGTAAAGAAATACCAATAAAAAATTCACCTTGTGACATACTGAAGAATAATCGGTTAATAGATGTAGATCATTCAGTTTGGTTGAGTCCTGAGGACTGTTGGTGTTGACATTGACTGTGAAGATGACTAATTCTAAGGTTTTCAGAACTGTCAGTTAACATCAACACCAACAATCTTTCTCAGAACTTTACCCATGTGGATGATCTTGCACATCAAGAAAGACATGTAACTGATGGGTTACATCTGTTGATGTACTGTTGATGTACTAATCACAAAAAATTCAAACAAAATGGACAACCCCAATTGAAGGATTATTATTGTTCGTTTTTTGCCTATTTGAACCTTCTCCATAGTCGTTTATCTAGGTAAATCAATAAGAAAAAATCTAATGCATTAGAATTGTCTCTACTACTGATGACGTGTACAAACTGTCGCATCTGTTGCGCAACTCATCCTTTCTTTCGATTCCTGTAGACATGGAAAAATCGTAATGTAACAATACCAAAGCCTTTCAATCTGAGTAATGGTGGACAAAAGAAACGCAAACATGCGACAATGGAGAAAGACGCCGGTGTAGAGAGTGATTCATACGTTCCCGTAGCTCTTCAAGTTTACAAGTTTCAAACTTCAACGCCTCCAAGATTTCATACTAAGGCAGCAAACGATAAAAACATGCCCTGTGCAAACAACCCAGAAGACAGTAATGACAATACGGTTGTAACGAAGACAAAATCGCTTACCGTCCCGAAGACACCGAATCTGAGCACCAAGACGCGTTCACGTCCCGTTGGTTGTGACGTGTTGAGTTGGCAAGAACAAGAAGAGAAAGACTTGAGAAAAACGACGATTTTTTTGAGAGCAAACATGTTTCGACATTATCAGAATGCCATCTTCAGTGCAGAATGGTTAGTAGTGTTAAGTAATATGATACGTAATATGATATGAATAAATTAATTACAATGAGTATTAAGTATTAAGAACTTATAACATAAGTTCTAAAAATAAGTATTAAGAACTTATAACAAAAAATATTATTATAAAGTAAATATAGTGTTGTTATAAGCTTCAACAATTCCAGGCTTATGTGACCAGCAAGATACTCGTACATAAACTACTATTAAAACGACGACCGGTATACAGATAAATCTTTATTTCAATGCAATGCGTCAAACGTACGGTTCTAAACGACAGAGTATAGATATTAACATAACCGACAAGGAGGCCTAAAGCCGTAATCATCGTTACCTCGTAATTTGGCCACTAAATATAAACATCCATGTACAAAAAATACACCACTATACATGAATTGTGCTCAATCTCAAAAAGACCCCAAGAACCATGCTTTTATACGGGTCCCTTCTTGTTTTTCATAATAATTAGCATAATAATTAGCATAATAATTAGCATAACCTAAGCTCTATGCATCTCGATCCTACATACCAGCCCCGAACGACCTACTATACGTCGTTCAATAATTCAAAAAGGATCGAGAGCTACAATACAAATGTTTTCAATGTTAACTTGCGCAAGTTTTAAACAATGTGTCCACCAATCTTGTCGAATAACCAAACATAAACCAATAGATACCGTCGTTTAACGTAAACAAAATAATAATAACAGTTAAGTGACAACAACAATAACGTTCGTTTTCTGAAGAATTTCTCGCTTTACTTCGCAGTCTCCAATAGGCACAACTTCCTGACATCTCGACGATAACGACTTTGATTCGCCGTGCGGATCTCTACTTGCCGAACATGTCCGTTGCTATCGGGAAATGTTTCTTCAACTATCGCTAGAGGCCATTCACCTCTGGGAGTATCTTCCATCACCATCAAAACGACATCACCTTTGATTAAGTTTCGTTTTGGGTGTAGCCATTTCTGTCGTTCTTGCAAACTTGGCAGGTATTCTTTAACCACCTTGCCCAAAATTGGTCAGCTAACTTCTGCGCTCGTTTCCATATTTCTCGGGGGTTATTTGCCGTAGGTGAAGAACTTGCACTTGTGCTTATGTTTCGATAACGCAGGAGTAGAGTGTTTGGTGTAAGAGTTGATAAATCTCGAGGGTCATCACACTGCCGTACAAGAGGCCGATCATTCACTATTTTCTCGACTTCGCACATTACTGTAAGGAGTGTTTCATCATCAACAACTCGGTCTCCTATTATAACACGCATTTGCTTCCTGATTGTTCTGATCATGCGCTCCCAAACTCCCCCGCTATGGCTTGCTTTCGGAGCAGAGAAATGCCATTGAATTCCCTTTCTCTTAGACGATCTAATATTCTAGCTTGATTCCAATTTTGCAACATTTGCTTAACTTCAGATTCCGCTCCTCTAAAATTCGTCCCGTTGTCACTGAACAACTCATTCGGCGGTCCGCGTCGACTGACGAACCTACATACGGCTTGAATGAAGGAATCTGTCGATAGGTCATGTGCAATCTCAATGTGTATGGCCCTTATGGCTAAGCAAGTGAATACACAGCCATATCGTTTTCAGTTCCTCTTTATATTTGACTTTAAGAGGTCCAAAATAATCGACTCCCACAGATGAAAACGGGTACTCACCAGATTTCACACGAGCTTTGGCAGTGGGGCCATTATCTGCTTCCCTGGAGACTGGTTTCGGCGACGACACGGAACACAATTATTGACTATACTCTTCACAGTGCTAGGTCCCTTTATTATCCAGAAGCGTTGCCGTATTGCTGCTAGAGTTTGACTGGTTCCAGCGTGACCTTCCTTTGCATGGTAATACCGGACAATGAGCTTTGTAACGTGATGACTGGAATCAAGAATTGCGGGATGTTTAGATTCTTCCGGCAGCGATGATTTATCCAAACGTCCACCAACTCTCACAATTCCTCCGGCGATGACTGGACATAGTTTGGCGTATCTCTCTCTCATAGTTTTCTCGTTGATAGATGAACTTCGTTGGGTAAGTTTAATTATTTCCTGGGTTGCCGATTCAATCTCTTTTACCTTTAGAGGACCACGTTGTACTTCTAATCCTGGACCGTTTGGATAACGGCTTAAGATGTACTGTTTGAATCTTAGCAGCCATGCAACCGACTTCTGCAATCTGTACCATTCGGATGTTCGATGGATAAGTTGTATTAGCGAATCAGGGGGTGCATCCTTTGAGTTGATGACGGCACCAACTCTTGCTTTAGGTTTCTTTACTTCCACATCTGTGTCTTCTACGTCTGGTATGTCATCTAGCTGCGTTGGCCATAATTTGGGATCTTTCCAAAGGAAATCGGGTCCGTTCAACCAAAACTGCAAGTCCCGTTGGTCTTGGCCTGTTGCGCGACCAAGACTTATACCTCTTGATGCAAGGTCGGCTGGGTTGAGCTTGGTTGGCACATGTCTCCATTGATTCGGGTAGAAGCATCGTGAATAACTTGTAATCGATTCGCTACAAAGGTTTGAAACCTTTTGTTCTCGCTCTTAATGTAACGCAGCACTATCATTGAATCGCTCCAGAAAACAATTTGACTTATTGACAGATCCAACTCATCACAAATTTGTTTATTCAGCTTCACGGCCAATGTTGCAGCGGTTAGTTCCAATCTGGGTACCGTGACTGTTTTAAGAGGTGCAACTCTTGATTTGCCCATAACTAAGGTACAATGAATCCTTGGGTATCTTCCAGCCGAAGGTACGTTGCTACCCCATATCCTTCAGTCGATGCGTCAGCAAAATAGTGGAGTTCCGCATTCCTTGTCTTGTTAAATTCGTGCGGTTTATAGCATCGAGGTATTTCTAATTTCACAAGGGAATGGAATTCGTTTTGCCAATCATGCCATATTTCGCTTGTCTCGATTGGGAGATCTTCGTCCCAGCCGTGATTTACTCGACACAGGTTTTGCATTATGCGTTTGGCTGGTAAAACGACAGGAGCGACTAGACCAAGGGATCGTAGACCGAAGCTATGAACGATAGAATCCCTCTTCTTGACTCTGCTTTCAATTTGCTTCCCGGAATCCCAACGTGTCCCTTTCCGTATTCCACTGAACGCCCAATGCTTTCTCCATCGGCAACTTCTCCAACTGAAGGCTGACGCATGGCGCTCTTTCTTTGTTAGGTACGTGAGATAAGACTTCTCGATCATTTGACACCCACTTTGTGAGATGGAATCCACCGCGAGACAGCAAAACTGGTAGTTCGTCTACCAACTTCATTGCTTCTTTCCTTTCTGGTAAAGACTTGAGACAGTCATCTACATAAAGTTACGATCAACTGTGTCGACAACTTGTTTGCTGAATTCTTCCCGATTATCTGAAGCTGTTCTTTTTAACGCGTAAGAACAACAACTTGGGAAGAGGTTGCTCCGAATAAATGAACAGTCATTTGATGCTCTACTGGTTCTTTGGATAGATCTCCCTCTGGCCACCATAGAAATCTCAGTGCATTACAGTCTTCTGGCTTAACCTTCACCTGATGGAACATCTTCTCAATATCTGCCATTACCGCTATCTTTTCCTGCCTGAACCGCAACAATACACCAACTAATGAATTGGTATAATCTGGTCCTTGAAGAAGCTGATTATTTAGGGATGCGTTGTGGAACTTCGCAGCACAGTCAAAAACGATTCTTGTCTTTTCTGGTTTTTGCGGGTGTGTCACAGGGTGATGAGGCAGATACCAAACCAGTTTTTTGAGTGACTCGTCCTGTGTATTTTGTTTATCCACTTGAACTACTTTAGCGTGCCCTTTTGAGATGTATTCCTTCATCGTTGCCTTATAATTTGCGTGAAGTATGGGGTCCCTCTCAAGTCGTTTCTTCAAATAAGCAAGTCTCCTTTCAGCCATAGACTTATTGTACGGGAGGAGTGGGTCATCGTATTTCCAAGGAAGACCAATTTCATATTGATGATTTTCTAGCTTGACAGTTCTATCCATTATTGCCTTTGCGCGACGATCCTCGACCGACAGACATTCTTTAACGTCAGCAGCCGACTCGCTAAACTCTGAATTGTAGAGATTTTGCAATTGCTGACGAATGGAACTCATACCATCTTCCCTTTCCATACACCCAAGAGCTTGATCAACATGAATGAAGTTCATCTGAGCTTCTTGATAAGGTTTTCCTTCAGAGGTCCCATCACCGTCCAACCGAGGATTGTCCGTATTGCGTAGGGTTGATTTCTTTTCCCAGAACGCACTTCAAGGGGGCCAAGAGCTTCGGGAACGTCACTTCCAATAAGGATAGTGACTTTCTTATCCACTAAATCGGTTAGATTAACGCCTTTAAGGTGAGACCACCCTTTTACATCAGTGTTCGTGGGAATACTTTCTAGAGCAACAGGAAGAGTGTTGGTCGTCCAAACTTTATCTAGTCTGACACCTTTGCCCGTGGATACTCCAACCACATCGAGAGATAACTGTTGACCCTTACTTTTGTGGCTGCCTGAAACAGTCGCTAACGTGAATTCGATGGGTGAGCAATCGGCTCCAAGATCTTCAGCTAAACTGGTTAAGCACATGGTTGTGTTGGAGCCGCTGTCTAAGAACGCATAAGTTTCTATCACACGACTACCATAGGGTGCGCTGACCTTAACTGGAATAACTTGCAAACCTATACGACAACTGCTATATGATGAATTTGTCGCGCCAACTCCAGACGTTGGGAGTGCTTTGGATTGGCTGTCGCTTTCAGATGGTTCAGGATTTGGATTACTCCTTTCACTTGATTTAGAATCCTTAGCCTTTATTTCGGATGAGTGTAACAAAGGATGGTGCCTTCTCTGACAACCTTCAACACCGCATATGCGGGCACCTCTGCAGTCTTTCACGAAATGTCCTGGGCTCAAGCAAGCATGACAAACTTTGTGCGTCTTTACTAGGTCTTGTCGTTGCTGAAGATTTTGAGCCCTGAACTTGTGACAGCGTTCAAGATGGTGTGTGCCTTTGCATAGTACGCAGGATAAATTTCTTCCCTTTGATTCACTACTGTCAAATATTCTCTGGCTGTGAGTTGCTAAGTTTGTGCTATTCCCACTAAACAAGAAGGATTTCTTCTTCAATCTGTCAGTTCCATCCTTTCGGGTTTCATTTTTCGAGGTAATCATTTGACCAAAGTACGTACTAGCCACGGCTGCGCGGGATTGTATGAATTCAGTTAAATGAGAGAAATCTGGTGTGATGTGATTGTCGTACATATGGCTTGCTTTATCAGCCCATTTTGACTTGAGATGCATTGGAAGGCGGCTAACTACCCTTCCCAGAGTGTCCATCGAATTGATACTTGCCCGATTTCCTAACTGAATAGAACCAAGGAGACACGTTTCCATATCTCTTGCTAGCTGCGACAATTTCTCGGCTTCGTTTACTCTAATTGGCGGTCCATTCAAGACTTTCTCAAGGAATGCTTGGGTTACGATGTGATTTCGACCAAAGTTTTTTCTCAGGATTTCCTTAGCACGCTTGTATCCTTGATCCGGAGGCATAATGATGCAATGCTCTATCGCTTGTCTTGCTGTTCCTTTACAATACTGAATAAGGTAATTCAGTCGATCTGCATCATTACTTTCTTTACTCTCGACATTCACTTCAAAATTCTTCATGAACAACGGAAAGTTGCGAGGTTCGCCATCAAAACTCATGTATTCCCTTTGAGGCATTCTTAATCCCTTCACTACTTCGTCCATCGTAATCTGCTGCTTCTCTAATAGATATTGTAACTGCGACGAATTGTCTCGTTGCAAGCTTTGCTGAGTTTGACATCCAGTTCCACTGGTTATTATACTTTCTTGGGGTACACAATTTCCGGTAGGAGGTATCGCCAAGCGCTGACTTAAACTGCTTCTGTCGATTGGGGTTGAAGGTTGCTGGACTGGGTTTTTATCTGGTTCACGAGCGTTACTACTACTTTCCCTGTCCGACAGTTGATGTTCAATATCATTACCAAAAACTTCTTCTTCAAGCTTCCGAAGCTCATCTCGACGTCGTTGTATTTCCCGTTTCTTCATAGCCATCTCATGCTCAATTCTCGCCTGATGCATTTCTTTCTCTAGTTTAAGCCTTGCCTCCCTCATCTGCTTGTTCAGCTCTTCTCTTCTATTAATTTCCAATTCTTCAAGTTCACGAAACCGTTCTGCCCATTTTGAATCAAGCGCGCTCGTTACTCCAGCCCGTTGTCTTCAAAATTTGTTGTTTGCGTCGGCTTTTCCCGCACGAGCAGTCCGCGTGACGTTCACGTGAGCTGCTTGTTTACCGATATTAGAATTGGACTGGAATACAGGAGCAAGAGGCGATAAAACCGAATTATCCTTCAAAAATGAAGCGACCTGACTTAGACCAAGTTCAAGCTCCTGTTCCTGTTCGTCTGCTACTCGCTCCGGCGAACCCAAACTCGTCGAAGCCTCGTCAGAAACGACAACTTGCTTGTTTTGTACGACGACGTTCGGTCCGCTTTCAGCTCGCTCGCTACCGTCATCTTCAGCGGATTCAATCATGTCTTGATTCGTATTGTTAAGCGAATTCTCTCCAGATTTAGCTCGACTCACTTGACCTGGAGGACTTAACTGTTCGCCAGACGGCTGAAGTACGCGTTTTGATAAGCCTTTAATTTTCGACTTTTTACCTTGACCCTTTCGTTTCTGAGTCATTGCTGATCGATTAAACAACAATTACGAGAACTATATAAGCTTCAACAATTCCAGGCTTATGTGACCAGCAAGATACTCGTACATAAACTACTATTAAAACGACGACCGGTATACAGATAAATCTTTATTTCAATGCAATGCGTCAAACGTACGGTTCTAAACGACAGAGTATAGATATTAACATAACCGACAAGGGGCCTAAAGCCGTAATCATCGTTACCTCGTAATTTGGCCACTAAATATAAACATCCATGTACAAAAAATACACCACTATACATGAATTGTGCTCAATCTCAAAAAGACCCCAAGAACCATGCTTTTATACGGGTCCCTTTTTGTTTTTCATAATAATTAGCATAATAATTAGCATAATAATTAGCATAACCTAAGCTCTATGCATCTCGATCCTACAGTTGTAGTGGTGAACTTGGATATTTAAATCGGGATTAGTTTTATTAATGTGTAGAGCTTCCTTGATTTTGAGTGAGAAAGTGGATTGATCAGTGTCGATGATTTTAAAACAGGAAGGTGAGAATTTGTTTTACATGAAGGAGGCTTGAAGATGTTTGTAGATAGTGGAGTTTTTTGTCTGTGTGAGTATGTTCTTTTATCCTGGTAGATAATTGGCGAAGTTTCACCAATATAGCGGGAATTACATCCCGCACATGAAAATTGATAAACTACCATAGATTTGGAAAGTTCGGGAAGTGGGTCTTTAAACGAAAATAAAGATTTTATTTTAAAAGGTGTGAAAATAAGTTTAACGTCAATGTCAGTGCAGTAGCGTTTAATGATTTGTGTGTTTGCGTTGTGTGTGTCGTGAGTAATCACCTATGTAAGGTAGTTTGAAATAACGTTTATTGTCAGGTTGTTGTATATCGTTAGTGTTAGTTGTGGAGTTAGATGAGTCAGTGCTTTTCTTGTTGTCCAAATAGTGTTGTATAGTGTTGTTGATGAAATGAAAAGGAAAAGAATTACGTTGGAGAGTGAATATTAGTTTCTTTAAATCACGTTGAAAGCCGATGTCTGTGTTGTTGAGTTTCCGTGCTCTGTCGGTCAGTGTTCGTATCAGTCCAATTTTGTAATTTAATGGTGTGAAACTAAAAAAGTTAGTCAGTAGTCCTGTATATGTTGGTTTGTGGTACGTGGAGGTCATGCAGTTTTCATGTGATTTAGTTAGTAAGATGTCAAGAAAGGGTAACTGATTGTCTTGTTCGGTTTCGTATGTAAAGTTTATGCTTTGATGTTGTTTGTTGATGTATTCGTAAAGAGTAATGCTTCGTCTTTGTTATGAAAAATACAAAAAATGTCGTCAACGTATCTGCGGTAAAATAAAGGTTTGTTGTTGCTGTAGTTATTTAACCAGTTTCGTTCGTGAAAACCCATGAAAATGTTGGCTAGAATATTGGTGAAACTTCTCGCCAATTATCTACCAGGATAAAGGAACATACTCACACAGACAAAAACTCCACTATCTACAAACATCTTCAAGCCTCTCCTTCATGTAAAAACAAATTCTCACCTTCCTGTTTTAAAATCATCGACACTGATCAATCCACTTTCTCACTCAAAATCAAGGAAGCTCTACACATTAATAAAACTAATCCCGATTTAAATATCCAAGTTCACCACTACAACACTATATTTACTTTACAATAATATTTTTGTTATAAGTTCTTAATACTTATTTTAGAACTTATGTTATAAGTTCTTAATACTTAATACTCATTGTAATTAATTTATTCATATCATATTACGTATCATATTACTTAACACTAACCATTCTGCACTGAAGATGGCATTCTGATAATGTCGAAACATGTTTGCTCTCAAAAAAATCGTCGTTTTTCTCAAGTGTTTTTTAAGAAGAGAAAGAAGTTGAAAAAATGAAAAAGTTAGTAGGCTTGGATACTAGTACAGATGTCATATCATATACTCTTCAATTTCTGTTCTCCATTTAATCATCTGAAAACGGGTTCCGTCTTGCATTTCTACAAACCTTCGTTGTAAGATGAAAACACATGCTTCTCGACGATTTTATTTCCTTTGATCTTACTTTATTATCTTTTAGTTCTTCTGCAACATACATTGAGCAACAAACCATTAAAACAGTCGCGTCTTTTTTCAGCTATACCTTCAAAGCAAAACCGTTCGACCGTCGCATTGTAGAATGCGATGGCCTGTACGGAATCCCAGTGAAATATCATGAGGCTATCGCACCCACAAAACCTGAACCTTTCTCGTTCGAGCCTGACGAGCGTCAACTAAAAAGAAAAGAGAAATCATCTGCAAAGGTAACATTTTAATCTAAACCCGCGGCTTTTTATCATGAGAAATAACCAGCGTAAAATTATAATTACCTGTAATAGATGTGTTTATTTTATTATCTTTATAACTCTTCAGGAAACGACAGCAGTTAATTTCAAAGCGATGCCGCAACCGAATTTTGAGAAAATTTTCCGACCTCAACTGAAGCACGAACACACATAACCGAAACCGTTCTCGTTTATTGAGAAAGACAAAGAAAGATGGCAGAAAAAAGAAGAGAAAATCCAAGACGTCTACAAGGAAGAAGAAAAGGTAAAGTTCAAACGACTGGACTGGTCTGCATGTTTTTCTCATCAAAAAAGGATTCAAAGTAGCTCAACACTTATAGTTTATGCTATATTTAGCTAAGAGAATTCAAAGCTCAACCGTTACCATCAGATTCGCCAGATCCATTGCCAGCTGTTGCAACGAGATGTGGTACCAACATGATGCCATTTTCATTAAATACTGAACACAGAGGAGCGAAAAGGCAGAAAATGGATACAGAAGGTTTGTAATTGCAAAGCTTTCTCATCAACAGTGAGGGTTTTTGTAAGTTTTCCTAGTGTCGAGGTGCTTCAGCTATTTGTATTCTCAGATTAAAACAGAACTAGAAGAAAGTCGAACGACTGCCATTTTCAAAGCAAAGCCATGTAAAGTTGTCCACGACGCTCCATTTGTGCCGCAGAAATCGAAGAAACCTTTGACTGAAGTCAGTGAGTTCACCTTGAACACGAACAGTCGCGCGGAGCGACACGAAGAACTGGAATTGAACAAGAAAGAACGTGAACAGATTGACGAAGAATTACGAAGAGCGCGATGCTCAACGAGAGAAGGAGGAACAAGAAGCCCTTGTTAAGTTGAGGCAAAATTGGTTCATAAGGCTCAACCAATTCACAAATACAAGAATGTAAAAATAAAACCGAGCGATAAGCCACTGACCGAAGCTCAATCGCCCGTTTGGAGTGAAATGAAGCGACGTAGAGTTGAAAACACAAGATGAACGCTGGCCGTTAGCACCATCGTCTTTATCATTAACTAAACTGAGGCTTATTAATGATTTTTTAAGGTGGCTCGATAGAAAAAAAATCAAGAAAAATTCAATTTTTCAAAAGTATCATTTTTAGACAGTTTTACTAATAATCTTTCATATACAATAGAGTTTTATAATACTAGGCTTTTATTTTACGTGATTTTAGAGGTTTTCTAAGATGCACCATAAATTTTTTATTGGTAACCATGGAAACCACATCAATTTTTTTCAAAATAACCATGTTATACAGTTTTGCATGGTGATTTTCATTTTGTTTTGTAAAAGTAGAGTCCTTACAAGAGGACTGGTAAGTAGCCCCCTTTCATCGCCTGGTTACCAAGTCAGAATGTTCATGCATTCATGCTTGTAAAGAAAGTCAGTGAAATGCTTTGTTGTAATCGTGTCAAAATCTGGTGAAAATGCCTAATAATAAGAAGTTTGTTCGATCGAAGGGTAAAAAACGAACGTTTCATGAGAATTGTTATGTTAAAGTCAACAAATTAGTTCATTCTCAGTCTTCTGAAACTGAGAAAATAGATGAAACATGTACGAGTGTACGACTACTTTGTCAAGTGAAGTGGCATCTACGAGCGCATCAGAAATCAGATCCTTGCCTGATCCTACGTCATATGAAGAAATTTGTGAGAATACGTTGAGCATTCCAGTTGCAGCCGACGTAGAGTGTTGAATGTTACTTCAAAGAGACTATGATAAAAAGCATATTTGTTAAGTCATCTTCAGAGTCAAGTGAGGAGTAAACGTCAGGTTAGCCGTATTTGTCTTTATTTGTCATACGTCATCCTGTATACAAAATAGGATACGACGACTTAGAAGACGACAATCGCTAAGGTTGTCAAAACGTCAGTCAAAATGAGAAGGGGTATTAGTGAAGTGAGGTATTAGTTATCGACTGTTGTTTTTTTTTTCAGAAAGCCCTTACAGATATAGTAATTTCATTCATCAAAAGAACTTTCTCACCAAAATATTGAATGATTTAAAAAGTGATTCTAACGAGGTAAAGACATTAAAAATACTCTCAGTGATCTTTTTATTCACCATATTTAAACTCTATCTTTTCCAGGTCATTACAGATTTGTTTTCATTACGTGAAAAATTAACTCACCATAATAACATTCGTGTTCACATGGCCTGTAATGTAAATACTTTACCAGAGAAGACGAGCGAGATGTGGGAGACTGAATTCATTCCCAACTCTTGTCCATATAAAACACAACTACAGTGTGTATTACCAGAGGATACTCTTTTTAAATTCCTTTTAAATCACCATTTATCCATGCTTATTCCTATGTATCCATTATGTTTGTATCAGGTTGGAGAATGTGCAAAATGTGTGCGTGTTTTTTTATGAGAAAATGTTGGAAGTAAAATCATCGGAGTTGGTTCTGTGGAATCATCATTTCTCATTCAATGCTGTCGTTGTATTCAAACTTACACATTTCCAGATTTTCCCGCTATTTTAGTCTTCATTGAGTGTATGACTGCTTTGGAGGTATGCTTTGGATGAAAAATTTATTGAGGTTTTTGCACGTTTTTATACATGGACTGGATATTTTATTTTCAAGGGTCCAATGTGGCATACTATCCGTGGGCTTGGACTCTCCTATCACTACAGGTACTTTTAAAAAGTTACAAAAAGTTACAAATACACTTTAAAAAAACTTTAAAAAAAACAAAGTAAAAGTTAAACTTAAAGTAAAGTTACAAAAGTTTTTGTTTCAATCTGGAGTTCAAACGTGACTTTGAAGTCGGAATAGTTCAACCTGTCCCTGTGTCCATGTACGACTATTATGATCCAGGTAAGCGCTTATTTATTCACAGCTCGAGAACGAATGTTTTAACTTTTTGGTAGCAAGCTGTTATACATTCTTTATTTTACCAGATGTGTAAAACGCTACATTTCTACAGGTTTTTGACTGTTAATGAAAGTACAGGAATGTCAATTATTGATGTTGGTGTTCTCAATGGATTTAGTGTGAAACAAGATAGCCTGATTGAAGTAAATATATTTCTTTTGTGTTTAAGAATTCGGTTTTTAGGAACTACACAAATCGATTGCACGAGAATGAAAATGTGGTCTTAATTTCATGGATCGTTCAATTTTATCTGTAGCTTGGCGACCATTAAAATATTTTTCAAACAAACAGAAAAATAATAAAAAAAAAAACAGTATCCAGATTTCGTGCAATTGAAGTGTTTTTCTTTATTCGCTATTCCCTCGTAAAAAAATATATACCTAATTCTTTGAATCCATTTGTTAAAAATTACATTTTCTTTTAGCTTCAAGATAAAGCTAATCCAGGAATAGCGAAGTTTGAAATATCTGACCGACAAGTGTATTTGTACCTGGACAAAATAGCCAGCACACACGCGCTTTGTTTCAATCTGGAGTTCAAACGTGACTTTGAAGTCGGAATAGTTCAACCTGTCCCTGTGTCCGTGTACAACTATTATGATCCAGGTAAGGGCTTATTTATTCACAGCTCTAGAACGTAAAATGTAAAATGTAAAATGTTTTAACTTTTGGTAGCAAGCTGTTATACATTCTTTATTTTACCAGATGTGTAAAACGCTACCAGGGGCGGATCTAGGATTTTTCAAACATCAGTCATAAAACGTCGGAGGCGCTCCGCACCGGGGGGGGGTCTGAGGCATTCTCCCCTGAGAAATTTTGAATTTCAGAGTCTTGAAAATGCCATTTTCAGCGTTTTAGAGCAATACAAAATGTATTTTGTGGGCATCGTTTTTGCGTAAAAACAACACATTTTTCTTACGTTTTTTTTTTCAAAAAAAAAAAGTGAACAATACTTGAATGTTTTGCCAAATATTTAGGCTCATTATCATGCCAAATATATGGCTCATTAGCATGTCTAGGAACGTAAATTTATTTTACAATAATGCTATTCAAAAACAGATATATTCTTTAAAATTTCTACCAAGTTGTCAGGCATAGACCCCCCTAGAGACCCCCATTCAAACCTCTATGTAATAAGTTAAGTTAGAAATTTGGTACTACAAGTGACAGTTCATAGATATAGAAAAGCTCAGACTTCAAACCATGCAAGTTTATTGTAACTCTTTACCCATCTCCACATCAGTGCCAGCAAATTCACCTTTGAGAAAAACTCAAAATTTTTTTATGCCAAAGATTAAGCAAAAATTATCAGATTGAAAATTTGCAGTTAAGGTTAGCTTAATGCCATAAATGTTTATTAGGCATTTCACTAGACTATTATCTTCTGCAAGGTGTGCTATATAGCAATCACTAGTAGCATTGTATTATCAAATACAAACAGAATGTAACCAACATGTCTTTAATTATATAATTACATGAATGTTAAAATGGTTTATGTGTCATGCTTACTGGTTATGATAAATATCTTTTCATATGATCAAAGCTTGTTTAAATGTAAATCTAAAATAATTTAGTTTAGAAATTATAATGATAATCAGAAAAATTACCTAGTGATCATGAAAAATACTTTGCTGTTTTGCCAAATTTCAAGTTTATCTGCATACATAGGAAGACATTTTTACTTTATAGAAAATGCTTTTCATACATCAATAGCCCTTTGGAATTTATGGCAAACAATCTGGTATGAGCCGTAGATTAACACACCTTTACATCTCTACATGAGGTGTTCAGTTAGAAAAGGGACAATATGTGACATGGGACAACATTTCATGTATGTGAAATACTCAGGTTTAATACCATTCCAGTCAAATTGTCAAAATAAAAGCTTCATGGATCATAAGACTCAAAATCACAGGTTATAGTAAACAGCTTCTCATGTAATCAATGTTAGTTTTCTCAAATCTTAAACAATATGTAGTATAACTGTCTAATGATTGAATGATCAATGATCATAAACTGAAAAGCCCCAAACATTTGTTTATGATAAAGTAAATAATAGTATGGCACCTTATGGCTACAGATTTTTTGTCCATTGAAATATATTTGCAGAAATGTAGGATTTCGCTGCCATATAACGGCCACGATTCCCCAAGCATTAAAGAAATCATAGCTAAAAGTCCTTCGGCAACAACAATTTTAGAAGCATCAATCTGCTTACCATACGCCATATTAACATAAATCGCATCACACACTCGCATAAATTGACTTTGATATATTGCATTCATGCATACACTTCACTTGTCCTTTACTTACGATTTTCGATGTAAATTTCTGCTGATAAAACTCAAAACAATGTTGGCTTTGTTTTGAACATCAATGACTGAAATGTCGCTGGCGAGATCGTCTTTGCCAAGCATTTACAATTCATCCATAAATTTTCACCCTCTTGAAAAATTCCCATTTTGGAAAGCAGCATTCATGTCAACATATGAATTTGTAAAGATTTCCATAAATTCCATCTGATTGTAGTTTAGTTTCTATCATGCTTATAAAAATTACTATGAAACGATCAAACATTCAATTCAGACAGTGAGCTTGACTATGTTAGTTCAGTTGGCTATCAGTCGAAATCGGTCAAACCAATCACAGTAAGACAAAAATTCAAATGAACCAATTGTAAGATAGCAATTGGACTCCCTTATAGGTCCGGCCACCCCTATTATCGGTCGAGATTATTCCAGACTGTCCACTGATCTGGCCATTGACCAATAAAATAGCGTTTCTGGCGTTCATAGACTCCTTTATAAGTCGAACCAGTCAAGCCACCCCGCTTATCAGTCGGTTATTCCAGGTCAATTAAAATTCAACTGATCTGGTTACCAAGGAGATATTCATTGGATTAGTCATTAGTTTTCAATAATAAATAAAGCTGGATTTTTATCACGAAGTAAATGCGATAATAAAGTAAGAATAATTAATGAATTTTAATTAATATGAATAGGTAATTTTGAATTTCAAACATCAGTCGCGCGACGGATTTGACATACTCTAGATCCGCCCCTGAACGCTACATTTCTACAGGTTTTTGAATGTTAATGAAAGCGCAGGAATGTCAATTATCGATGTTGGTGTTCTCAATGGATTTAGTGTGAAACAAGATAGCCTGATCGAAGTAAATATATTTCTTTTGTGTTTAAGAATTCGGTTTTTAGGAACTACACAAATCAGTTGCACGGGAATGAAAATGTGGTCTTAATTTCATGGATCGTTCAATTTTATCTGTAGCTTGGCGACCATTAAAATATTTTTCAAACAAACAGAACAATAAAAAAAACAGTATTCAGATTTCGTGCAATTGAAGTGTTTTTCTTTATTCGCTATTCCCTCGTAAAAAATATATACCTTATTCTTTGAATCCATTTGTTAAAAATTACATTTTCTTTTAGCTTCAAGATAAAGCTAATCCAGGAATAGCGAAGTTTGAAATATCTGACCGACAAGTGTATTTGTACCTGGACAAAATAGCCAGCACACACGCGCTTTGTTTCAATCTGGAGTTCAAACGTGACTTTGAAGTCGGAATAGTTCAACCTGTCCCTGTGTCCGTGTACGACTATTATGATCCAGGTAAGCGCTTATTTATTCACTGCTCGAGAACGTAAAATGTAAAATGTAAAATGTTTTAACTTTTTGGTAGCAAGCTGTTATACATTCTTTATTTTACCAGATGTGTAAAAGGCTACATTTCTACAGGTTTTTGACTGTTAATGAAAGCGCAGGAATGTCAATTATCGATGTTGGTGTTCTCAATGGATTTAGTGTGAAACAAGATAGCCTGATCGAAGTATATTTCTTTTGTGTTTAAGAATTCGGTTTTTAGGAACTACACAAATCAGTTGCACGAGAATGAAAATGTGGTCTTAATTTCATGGATAGTTCAATTTTATCTGTAGCTTGGCGACCATTAAAATATTTTTCAAACAAACAGAAAAATAAAAAAAAACAGTATCCAGATTTCGTGCAATTGAAGTGTTTTTCTTTATTCGCTATTCCCTTGTAAAAAAATATATACCTAATTCTTTGAATCCATTTGTTAAAAATTACATTTTCTTCTAGCTTCAAGATAAAGCTAATCCAGGAATAGCGAAGTTTGAAATATCTGACCGACAAGTGTATTTGTACCTGGACAAAATAGCCAGCACACACGCGCTTTGTTTCAATCTGGAGTTCAAACGTGACTAGGGTTTAAGAGATCATTATCCAGTGCCATAGCGCTATACAGGTATCATACAATCAATTCCTGGACATTATAGTATGATTATCTTTGGTTAGAACAACGTTCATGTGTTCAGTTTTGTTTGTACGAAATTACATTTCTTGACATGTGTTTTATGAAGTTTGGATGGTGCTTCAACTGGAGATTGAGTTTTTAATTTTGTGAGACTTTTACCAAACTGTAGTGATCGGTTTGTTGATATTAGCTGGGATTAAGTTGTTTCGCTCTGTTTTTATTTATGTAAATTTTTCGTCAAGGTAAACAAACACAACTTTTGATGATGAGTAAAGTTTGTGAAAGATCCATTGATAAGTCCATACCTATACCACAGGTCGTAGCAATTAAAGATGATACAGGGGATATATCATTCACTGGCAAAATTGCTACTGTGGATCCACGTCATCCTGTTCAATTTCTCGCAGCGTTCTGTGACCTTTGCAAAGAGCGTTTTCAAATGAAAGAACTGTGCATCAAGAAACTCACTAAATTGTTTTGCCCTCGATGTGCTAAACATTTGTCTCCGTCACTGTTCCTTCACATAGAATTTAAAGATGACTGTGGTATGGGTTACCATGTTGTGTTGGCAGACGAAACTGCAAAAATTTTCACTAAGACTGATCCCTTTAAATTACTCACGGAGAAAGACGAACAAGAACGCTTGAGAAGTTTTCTTGTTTCAAAAGAGATAAGAAATATGGAATATGACATCTGTATTCGAGAATGTGGGAAAGTGAAAGGAAAGCCTGTGTACGTTCTACTTAAACTATCAAAAAAATGGAAGGTGTAATTTTCTGTAAAATCAATTTTATTATATTCTAATGAGCGTAATGATCGAGGGTCCGGCTACCTGCATGGATAGTTGGGGTTTCAAGTGGTTTATTAAGGTCGTTGTGTACAGGATATTATGCTTAAATTAGAGTTTTAGAAGAAGTTTTTTAAAGAATTCAAAAAAATACAATTCACAATCTATGCAGGCTTCCTGCAATTGACCCCTGTCACTATATTAACTATTTTACGGTAAGAATAACATTGTGTGTAAATTAAATAGAGGTTTTTGATTTAATTAATCCAGTGCCATAGCGCTATACAGGTATCATACAATCAGTCCCTGGACATTATAGTAAGATTTTCTTTGGTTAGGACAACGTTCATGTGTATATAACTTTGCATTGTTTTAGTGTTTTATCAATTTTGTTATGTTCGTATTTACATGTCTTGAGGCCGGTTGCACGAAGCTTGAGAATAGTGCTGTCAACTGGATTATGAGTTTTTCAAAAGGGACTTTTTTGTGGGTATCTTTACTGTAGTGATCAGTTTATTTATATTAACTTGGGATTGGGATTAAGTTGTATTTTACGTTGTCTTTATCACTTTTGTATAATATTTTCTCAAAGATAAACAGAAATTTTATTTTGAAAAGTTTAGGTTTATAAGTCTATATTTGTGGCACCACAGGTCGTTTAAGCTAGGGAATCGAAAAATTCTTTTAGAGAAAATCTATTAGAAAATTTACACAAAAGTGGTTATGCTCGTGGTAACTTTGATGATCGAGATTGACCCATTTAGGGTCTCATTTTAGAAACATCGTAAATCAACTTTAAAGAAAATAAGGAAGTTGAATACGGCATGTCACTAGTTTGATATTGTGCAAAGTAGGAAGTGTTAATGTACGCAGGCGTACCTATTTTTTGAGAACAAGTACTTATCTAATTTCATTTCTGTTTACTTTCCTTTATTGTGCAATTTTTAGGACTGTTTTGCACAATTTTGGCACTTGTTGCGCCAGCAGATATCTGACGAAATGTCGGAGTAATTCTGCAGTTTTTGTATGGAATTGATTTAAGTGGACATTTTTGAAACTGAAGAAATTAGGAATGTTTATTGCTTTAAGGAAGGCGAATATTGAATCACTACCGTGAAATTGGCACGACATCGGGCACCACACTCAATCATTTATATTTTTGTGCACTTTCCAAATTTTGGATATATTTTAGACAATATAAAATTCTATAATATACTTGAGTTTAAAAAATTCTACCCTGTAGTTTTTTAGCTATAGAGCTGTGTCGATTGTGGTGCCAACTTCACAGTTTATACCAGAGTACATTCTCAAGGAATATTATTCCGTTTATATTTTTGTGCACTCTTCAGATTTTCGATATAATTTACACAATATAATTATCTATATTCTGGCCAAGTTTAAAACAATTCTACCGTGTAGTTTTTAAATTATACGCTAATTAAGGGAAATGAAAAGTACACTGTAACCTAAAGTTTAGTGTTTTCTTCAATTTTTTGACTTTTATACTTTCTTTGTGATGGTTAAGGACAGTAAAATAATAATAAACAGTTAAGAATTGTTTTTACTGTTGTATTTCATGGAAAACGTGTTTTAAAGACGATTTTTCGATTTATCATTTTGAATGATAAATTTTAGTTGAATGTGGTGATGAATGTTGTGATGAATGCCCAATGTGGTGCCAATTTCACGGTAGTACACGTATAGTCGATCCAATACGAAAGCGGAAATGGCAACAGGTATGATAAATATAAATTTTTATCGTAAATAATGGGATAAAGATTGCCTTTCAAAATTTTTGAGTTAAACCTTTCATCATGTGAAATAAAATTTTGTTACCTACGTACAACAGTTACGTCAAGAGCTCACACAAGAGTATGAACAAGTTAATGATAGGAATAAGACATTGAACAACTTTAAGAAAGATCCCATTCCAACACAGTACGGAGGAGTTAGTGCAAATGAAGCTCCGACCAGAGACCCAGAGGTTTGGCCTCCACCAACTCCTGTTGAACGGGAGAAAAAATACGAAAGGTATGATTAATATAAATCCAGTTTTTCGAAAGATTTTTAAAAATTCATCTTCAAGTAATTCAAGTATGTATTTATGCAATTAAAATTTCCTTGTTTTATAGAAATGCTCGACCTGCATCCAGGCCAGTTAGACGTGAAGAACAAAATGCAAAACCTGTTTCAAAAAAAGTGTCAAACCCACGTAGGTCTGAGGTAAAGCCATCTGAACGTGGCCGTAGTGCACCGTCCAAGAATCCTAAGAGTGACAGAGACAATCATCGTGCTGGTCGTGCTAAAAAAGTTAGCATCTTTTGTTTCTACCCATAGACTGATTTCCATTTATAATTAAATACATGTATAAGGAATGACATTATGAAAATTTAGGATGATGAAAAGCCAGAATCAAAAGACTCTGAAAATGAAAAGAAGTTTGATTCGTCAGGTAATGACAAAGATCTTGTTGAAGGACTTGAAAGAGATATATTGCAAAGAAATCCTAATGTTCGATGGTATATATTTATTAACTTTTGCTCAATACTCTTGAATTTCAATTTTATTTATAACTTGCCCATTCCAATGATCTCACGATAACTGAATATCTCATCTTTCTTATTGAGGTCGGATATAGCTGAATTAGATGAAGTTAAAAAGCTGCTTGAAGAAGTTGTAGTCTTGCCAATGCTTATGCCAGAGTATTTTACTGGACTACGAAGACCTTGGAAGGTGGAAATCTAAATGCTGCCTTATATTTATGTCATTTCAATGTATTTTTTCATGGAAAGTTAAAAAAATACATTGTTACTAGTTTACTTTGAGCCAAAAATAGTCCATATTACCTTCTCTCCTCTTTCACAGGGTGTGTGTATGGTTGGACCTCCTGGCACAGGAAGAACAATGTTAGCCAAGGCAGTTGCTACCGAATGTGGTACAACATTCTTCAATGTATCTTCGTCAACGCTTACGTCCAAGTATCGAGGAGAGTCTGAAAAACTCGTGCGATTACTCTTTGAAATGGTGAGATTTTGTTTTCCTTTATAATGAGATCAGATTTATTGATTAAATGTAGATAATTTCCCCCCTTTCTCTGATGATATTTCCACTACAGGATAGGTTCTATGCGCCAAGCACTGTGTTTATTGATTAGATCGATTCAATCTGCAGTAGACGCCGCACGGAGAATGAACACGAGGCCAGTCGTAGAGTGAAGTCAGAACTTCTTGTTCAAATGGACGGTATTACTCAGAATCAGTCGCTTTCACTGTTTAAATTGTCTATAGAGACAAAGTCTACATCATAGAGATTTATTATACAGTATTACGTATTTATAATCTTGGTGGGCTTTATTACGTTTTACGTGTTGACGGGGCAACGTCTGTTGATGGTAAACTCGTTATGGTCCTAGCAGCCACGAAGTTTCCCTGGGATTTAGACGAAGCTTTGAGAAGGCGCCTCGAAAAACGAATATATATCCCTTTACCAACAGGTGCTGGCCGTTATTGACCGTATTTTGCAACACTCGCAAAATTTTATTTCGTATTCATTGCCATAGTTTTCATGTTTAGTTTCACTAGTTCTTGGTAATAAACAATACTTTATTCTTACCTATCATTATTTTTCATTCGTTTTGTCTTTCATTCTTTCTCTTACAAGCGTTGTTTTGATTTTTATTTCGTCATGTTGTACCTCTTTTTTTTCTCATTGTCATGTTCTATGTAGCCAAGGGCAGACTAGAATTATTGAAGATATGTCTTCGCGATGTGGCGTTGGCTGAAAATGTTGTCCTGGAAGAGGTTTCTAAAAGTATGGAAGGTTATAGTGGGGCTGACATCACCAATGTTTGCAGGTGATTTATAAATTGAAGGCCATTTGTGCTTAAATATATACGTGTGAAATGTTAAAGGATCTATTGTTTTATACCTTGTATGCACCGCACTGTTTTAGTCAAGCAACCATACGCAGATAAATTTTTTAAGGAGATTAGTTGTTGTCCTAATGCCTATTTCCTTATATTTCTTTTATGGTTAAAAACATTGTAAAAGTTGTTATAGATATTAAAAAATTTCACCGTATTAAACTAAGCTGTATTTTTTGGCACCATGCAAGCTCGCTGCATTTAAATTTCACTGCCAATATGTTCGGGAGTCAGACCATGAATGCGTCTTCTCGTCGACATCATAGACGCATCTCTATTACTTATGTCTCGTATTAACGAATCCTGTGCGTGACGTCACAAAGATTAGCTGCTCCAGGCTTGGGGCAAAGTCATTGAAAAATGTCGACGCTCAATTTAATCTTTACCATAAAAACAGAACGATTAGACAAAATTAGAAACTTTTCCATTTATCACACTAAAATGTAATATCGCAAATGAAATTTATTGCTGGAAGGAAAACTCTAAGATTGTTTAATGATGTTTCTTGTACTTTTACGTTCATTTTGTCTTTTAGGATGTTCAATCTGACGAAGTAAAGTTATTGGTGATTGATAACTTAATAATAATTCCATCGAGAGATGTCTACATTATGATAAATACTGCTGTCAAATACACAGTCAAAAGATTTCGACAAAACTCTATGATAGGTAAACATAATTACATTTCTTATTCCCGTGCTGTCGTTTACTTTAATAATACCAATGATTTAAGAAAAGTAATTGTACAATTAAAAATTGTAAAACATCATTTTATTATTAGATGTCGAAATGCCGTCAACACAATTTGAGTTTGTTCTCAGCAATACAACTGTTGCAGTTCTTCATGAACCATCATCTAATGTTATTTGTCGTGTTCTTGGTTATACACAAGTTACCCTCGTTGATAAAAGTATCTTTTTGTGTGTACTTCTGGACTGAGGGGGTAGGTTTTTGTTCTTTGGTATGTACAAGTCACCCTTGTTGATAAAAGTCTTCTTTTGTGCACACATGGACTGGGTGGGTTGACAATTGTCGCGCGAGGGAGGGGGCTGGCTAACATTTATATATGCATGTTCTTTATTAGCTTCTCTTAAAATCATTGTGTATGTACGTATTTCTGTTTCACTGTACAATACAATAGACAGCATGTACTTATGGTACGTCAGTAGATACTTGTAGTACATTACGTAGGTACTTTTATGGATACTTTGGTTTAATCTTTAACGTTGTGATGAGACATGAAAGATCAAATATCTACAAGACAACCAACAGCTTATATTTATGTTGATGAACCTCATCTAGGTAATTCTTGAATTCATAACTGTTTAAAATGATTATGGACGTCGTGATTTGCACGTGCTTAATTCATTATTGAAGCGTGTTCGTGTGACATCACTGAGCGCAAGTTGTGACGTTTGCAAGGCAAAACTTTGGCGCCAAATTTTGTTTCAAACACGAAACGACGTTAAAATTTCAAAACTTGGGCGAAGAAATTGCGTTAGAAAAGGATTTGGAAAAATTGTTATTGATTTCATTGAATGAAAGAGTTAAAGCACATTTACCTGTGACGTTTTACACGAGTTGTACATGTTTAAGTTTTGTTTTGTAAAATATCATTGATATTTTCAGCTTAACGTTTATAGAAATCTCACAACTCTCTCGTATTAACTTGAACATTTGCTAACTATTTGAAAACCACATCAATAGTCTTATGAAAGAAATCTTCAATTTTCGTGCGTTGCTTAAGCTGTAGTTACTGTTGCTTCATCACGTAAATATTCATCACGTAAATATTCATCACGTAAATATTCATCACGTAGATATTCATCACGTAAATATTCATCACGTAAATATTCATCACGTAAATATTCATCACGTAAATATTCATCACATAAACGCAAGCAAAATCAAGAAAATTTTCATGTAATGTTAACATTGAGATGATTCCGTCTCTATGATTTTTTAGGATTTTCTATCACTTCTGGCGATGTTTGGATCTTAGAAAGTAAACGTGAATATTTTGTCACAGTGAACGTCTTTGACAAACTTAATCATAAACTTTATGTTGGTGGTAACATTCAAATCACAACTTAATTTCCAAAATCGCATTTCGATGTTTCTTATTCATCTGATAATGGATCGTATCATGAGACGAAGACGTTGACCAGTGGGAAAATAGTGCTGCGTGCTGTACTATCTAAGATTACGGTAACAATTTGAATGTTTTGTGTTGTGTAGTTGACTACCATACGTATGTACTACTATGTAATGGATATTTGTATGGATTGCAAAGTTCATTTTCTCACTGATCAGATTCAAACGCTCATACGTAAGTCATACGTAAATGCCTTGTACGGTAGGTCGTTATACTAATAAAGTGAAGGATATCACAGTTTGTTTCATTATTGTGGAGAAGTTGATGCCAGCTGCTCAATAATGATTTTTCATATCAATATTATTGTCAAGTTATGTAATGTTCACTTACTCCATTTTATAGTCAATTATCACTGGAGAAACTGCGGTCCTCGATACTCCCGTACGTGGTAAACATGATGTTATTATTTATAATCCTGTCACCGTGACACCTGCTGTTTTGGCATTTCCATGGATACTAAATGGTAGGGATCATTACAAATACCAACTTGAAGTATGTACATGAACCTAATTTACTGCATGTTTGGAGGGAGGAAGAGGATTTGACATAAAGAAATTGCTGTTGTTTTCGCTTGCCAAAAGTTTAACCAGTTATTTTACGTAGATCACGTTGTATACAATATAAATACTTCATGTAACATTGTGCATTACCTTTTTAGGCCACAGGGGGGAGTGGACAATACTCGTGGCCTTCTGATGCTACGACCATTGCAAGTGTCAACATTCGAGGTCTTCTCACTACGACTGCTGACACTGGATTCACTATTGTGAAGGCTCATGACACTGAGAATTTATTGCATTATGTTCAATCAAAGGTGTGTGTATGACTTGAAGAAGAAAACTTTTAATGGTTGTTTTTCAATTCACTTGTTGTATTGTAGGTTTATATATTGCCTCCGGACAACTTAAAGTTTGTCCCCTCAAGAGTTGAAGTTGAAATTGGTACAAAGTTAAAGATTCCTGTGTCTGCTGCTGCATTTTCTTTACCAGGTTTGTTGTAGATACGTATATTGTTTAACAAACATGTAATGTTTAGAATCAGTTATACGTAGTTCATCCTTTCTTTCGATCATACATGTTTAAAGTTAGATATAATTTATCCTTTTTTAAATACTTCTAAAAATTGAAACTTTACGTACAAAAGTTTAGGCGTGATTATTAATTGAAGTTATTTAACTTATGAATAATTTTTTTAGAAAACGATGATTTATTGTTTTTTGATGATTGTCGCAAAATGAAGCTTACGATATCTGTTAATAATCCTTTTATTGTTATGTAAAGCAAAGTAAGTTCTAGCGTTCAACTTTTATGTTCGCCAAATTTGAATGAGATTTAAGATTCTTTTTTGTTATTTTTATTATAGAAAATGAGCAACGGTAAGTGATTTATTCATTATAATTAGCATTTGTTACTTATCATTTCTATCCATTTTGTATGTAATTTTTCGAAAGTGATTTCAAAAGAAATCAGTAAGGCACAACTGAATATATGAATATACACACCCCCAATTAACGTTCTAGTCACGCCTCTGTTGCTCATATACACTTAGCGTTATCAATAGTGCTTTTACGCAGCTATATTCAGTATATATCATCAGACGAAATCATCAGTTTAAAGTATACTAATATATGCTATGGTTCTCGATGTTCAAGTAGTAAAAATGTCATTCCTGGTCATCAGCTTGACGAAGATTTTGCGGTTAATGACGATAATCGAAAGCCGAAACCAAAAAGAATCATTGCCAGTGGTGTTTGATAAAAACAAAAAAGGGAAAAATAGTACTCTCTAAGCATTATTTAGTGTTGTTTTTTGATTGAATGACTGATATGTAGCTCGACATAATATTTAAATTGACGACGAACAAAACTAAAAGTTATTCCCCTTTTTAGGTTCTTATATTTTTTAAAAAGCCTTACGTACTATTTCAACCCTCTCAGTTGATCTTGTACTAAATTTTCTAAAGAATCTACTCTTTCATTCGTCGGCAAAACCTGTATTCTGTCAGCTACATGCTTCATTTATAAACGTTTTGTTTTCATTATATTTAGCTTTGATCGACAAAGGTAAAAAAGTAGCTGCATAGTGTTCAACAGTTTTGTGAATTTAATGCATTTATATAACAGACACCTCGCTTATTTAGTCCTGTTTTTGTAGTTATTTGTGTTCACTTTCTGCGAAAGCAATAAAGTATAAAATATATTGAGTAATAATTAATATTCTTAAATTTACAAAACAGCCTTTACCTGTATACTGCAATAAATTAATAAGAATGTTTTAAGAATGTAGCAGTCAAGTTTAAAGCAGAGTGACAGGCATACGTAATTAAGCAAAATTTTAAAAGATTTGTAACAGAATAGAGAGGAGAGAAAATTTTAGAAGGAGTTTGTGAATTGGGTAACCAAAGTTTTTTTATTCTATTTTACATTTACATTTTTATTCTGTTCGAATAGTCACGTGATTTATCAGGTGAGGTTTTTGTTAATGCATTCAAAATTATATGAAAGAGCGTCGAATTCTCAGAAAAGTTTACTAAATCCATAACTGAAAATCCTTTCCCCAAAGAGTTTGCATCTATTTTCCTTTATCTTTCTGTCCGGCATTTTGAGTCTTACGTGAAACTTCAAACTACAAGAATATAAGGTTTTTTGATAAAAGAAGCATTAATAGCTAAAATATATAAGATCCAAATGACAACTAATATGTAAAAATGGTTACCTCTCTGCATCCAACATCCTTGTATTTGTTTACGCTTTAATGTACTTGATAAAGATGTATACTTTGTACTTTTGGAAAACACATTTGATTTGCTGACATTTAAATTAAACTTTATTTTACTTTAATCTAAAATACAGTTTACTACTGTTTACATTATATGTATGTTGATTGTTTCAATATTTTATTTGTTCATCTGTTAATTGCCATGAGCTTAAATGACTATAACAAAAAGCCAACCTGTATAATTTCCACGTGCAGAAACTTGATTTCTCTTTTTTACTAAATTTTTCTAATATTAGTTGGATTTCTTTGAAAAACATCTTTTTTTCCTTTCCGTGTGTCTACAGCAATATAATTAATTTTTCATCAGTTAACGTGAATTTACACTATTGGGTTTTTTATTTTGCTATAAAAATTTGTCTTCTAAGAACAAAGGGGTTTCACGTATAGCTACTGGCTTCACAGATCAGTCACTTAGCTCGCTTTAACAACTGAGATGCCATGATTAAATCTTGACTCGTTTACTGTGACTGTTTAGACCGGTCTGTGCCCTGCATGTGTGCTTTTTTATGTGAAGAGACTTTTAACACGTTTGACAAAATTTTGTACAAAAAGACAAAGGTCCGATATTTATCAGTAAAGACTGAAAGCGAGCTTATTAAAAAGTATATTATATGACATTATTTCACCTGAAACGAAGCTTGCTTTGTATCTCGTCATTGCTGTTTTGCACGTGTAGGCTTTCACTTTTCTAGTTTTCATCAGAAAAAAAAATCGTTTCAAATTGTATCGTCTGGAAAGTAATGGACTGGCAAAAATGTTTTTGAGCCAATCAAGACGCACTAATTTGCCGGAAGTGACGCTTGCCATATAATAACGTTTAATTTATGTCGTAATAATGTGACAATGCCACATTATATTGACGCTTTTTTCACAAAAAGTTTGTATTATTATAGGTAAAACCATTGTTACATTGTAAAGAAACGAGCTTAAAACTTTTCGCTTAATACTAGCTATGACGATTGTTTAATTGTTTTTTCGAACTTCTGGAAGTTCTTTGGCATACCAATAATTTAAGACAATGAAGTTTAACGATCGTAAACCGGGGCTATTGATGTTTGGAGATCGAATGCTTTAAATAGTTCCAAACTAAAGTTAGTAAAACTGCTATCGCAATGGCCGCCGACGTGTGCAGTTATGTTTAAAATTCTACCAATTTTTTATTATTAAAATAAGCAATATTTTAGTGGTCACAAAGGTTTGACGAATTTAAAAATTGGTCGCGACCAAAAAAGGTTGGTAATTTTGACCAATCTGTTTTTATTGTGTAGCATAGATGTGGATTATAACTTCTCCTTATTTTGTAACGATGAAAATTGCCAATTATTTTTGTAAATATTCTTTTCCCAGCACCTTTTTTTAATTACAACACTGAACAAGAGTTAAACCATCGATTAACATTTTTAGACGTTCTTGTTTATCAACGCAATACTGAGTAAATTCCTTACTACTATTCTACGCAAAGTTACTCTCACGGGTTTGGATACACGCTTGGACTTGTTCTCTTGACGAAGAGAAATAATGTCTTTGGTAGAGTGCCTGATAAAGCCCATGAATAGGGATTGTTAACAAAGAAGTTCTTAACTTCTTAAAAATATATTAACTTCTTCAAAAGAAAATAGGAAGTGGATAGATAATCAAGACATTTCTTTTAATTGGAGTCCTTCAAAGACCTCAACTCTCTTCGTAAGGATTCTGTTTTTATACTAAAAAAATAGACAATAAGGAGGAACTGTTAAAATTGTTACTCATGTAATAGCTCTTCGCATGCATGTTTTTAAAAGAGCTGTGAGTTTGTGTTAAAACATAGAAGAAACAACTTTTAGGAGTGATTAATTTTTTTTAGTATCTGTAACTAAATGTTACATCAGCTTCTGAGTATGCTCGCTCCCAAGGAAGTATTTTACTCAAAATAATCAGATTTTGAATATTTTCCTGACACAAAAATTGGACTATAAGATTATAAAGAAATTACTTTAACTTACACTTAATAAAGCAATAATTGTAAGTAGCAACAGAACAAACACCCACCACCAGTCCAAATCAACAGCCAAACGTGACGGTGTAGTTTTGATTTAGAATCCAGGTTGCATTGATCAGCACATATAGGTAAAGATGGAGAAGTAACTGCTGTGGTTGTGTGCTCCCTACTATTAGGTATAGTTGGAAATCTTGAAGATGGTAATGTTGCCGAAAACTCTGTAAATCTGGTTGATGAGAAGAATGAGCTCATCTTTTTCGAAAAATTAACATAATGCTTTCCACTTGGCCTGATTGTAGACGCAACTGCTCTCCTTTGTGTCGAAAAAACGAAATTAAATAATGCTAAATGCCTTTTAATTTATACAAGATTTTTAAAAGTTAATGAATCCAATATTTGGCAATGTTAAGTAGACATGAAATGCTACCAAGCATCACAAAAACTATCATTGGAAGAATGCAGTCAGCACAATGCAGTCAGCAAGTTTGAATTTTTATGTAAAATTTTATATTGTTAGCTTTATCCGATTTCTTTTCAATTAGACTGCAAAAATTAATGTGTTAAAATGAAAAACCACGCGTGCTGACTTGCGTGTGTGTTAAAACAACACGAAAACGCTTCAACATCGATCAACAGTTCTTTTTCTTCGCAATATGTTTTTTGCATTATAAGCATGTTATACTTTAAACTATGGGCTGAACATTTGCAAAACGCAAAAAAGTAAACTTGAAAAACTTAGTTTCCGTTTGTAGAGGCAAAGACACTTGATTGCGCAATAGTTGACAATGTTGTCGGTGAAAGAAGCTGAGTGGAACCTGGAATAACAGAATTTGCTTACATAAAATTCATTCTAGAATTATTCTAATTCAGGGCTGGTTTACGAAGCCTGCATAGCGTTATTCATTGGATAGCGAAAATTTTCAAACTTGTAGAAATGGTGTTTGTATTTTCTTGCAACAAAGAAATTTTGTAATCTTCGAAACAATATTTTATTTCAGTGATTGCACACAGTTGAAATCGTACAATTTTATTCATAAGAGATTTTTTGAAAGTTCAAAAAATGCTATCCAATGCAAAGCTATTCGGCCTTCGTGCAACCGGCCTCTATTTTTTGCATAATACATAATGATTGCCTTCAAATGAACATCATATTTTTGTTAACTTTAACTAATCAAAATTTGAATTAGCTTATTCTCTCCTCTTTTAGATTGAAATAATTTATTTTTAATAAGCAACTTTACACAGTATTATCATGTAATGTAGCTACGTTTTAAATATCAGAAAACCACACGGACTACGGAAGAAAGCCAATGTTGACGATATTCTGATTTGGTAAAATTCTTTAGAAAATGTTCTAGAAAACTTTTTAACTTACGGACTTATAATTACTTTAAACAATAATTTTCACTGCAAGTAGCAAGCAAAAAAGAATGCACACTACAATTAGACACTGCAAAATGGAATAATTCAAAGAATTGATAAAGATACTGTTTTAGTAGAAGATATGTTGAATGGCATATCGGTTGAAAACGTTGATAAACATGATGTGGGAACTAAAACAAAGCGTAGGTAAACATAATAAGATTTATTTTTGCAATTCTTTTTGCTTTGGGAACTTTATGCATACTTTTTATAACTGTTTCCTCTAATTATTTTTAATATAAAAATACATCCTGTTGCCATCACATGCAAGGATAAAAAATTGAGTTTTGTGACAGTTATCACAATGACACGATACTTCAAGCTAGCTCAGGAAACTAATCAATTAAAATTCAGAGTAGTTGTGAATTTTATATTGAAGAATTAAGCAAATTTGACAATATAATTTTATCATTTGTTTTTGGTGCTTAAAATTAATGAGCTGGTGTTATTCGCATATTTTATTTTAAGAAAAGTTCTTAAAAAAATGTTAAGAAAACCTTTTTTCACGAACTTTATTACCTAAAACAATCACATACAATGCAAGCACAACCAAAAAAATGCACAGTTTAACGATGAAAAACGCTGAAAAAACATTAGAAAGTTATTATTTCTAGAAGTAGAATTTCTGGTAGCTTTATAGTTGAAAATTCTGTCGGCATTAAAAGTGATCTAGAAGCTAGAACAAAAGCAAAAATTCTTTTTAATTCGCAATATCTTTGTATCGTTTTGAAGATGCCATACTTTAAACCATGGGTCTGAAAAATTAATCTGATCATATATTGCAAAAAAGTTGTTTCGTTTAAACAATAATTTACATATAAAGATCATGAAAACGGCAACATGTATAATAAAGATGAAGAAGTACCAAGCCACATGAAGAAGTACCAAGCCACAAAACAATGAGCCTAATGAATAAAATCCAAGCTTACCAATGATATACACATTGACATTCCTCGAATAGCGTTTCATTCTGGTATAGATGATTAGGGTATATTCCCCATTGTAACGTGTATCCATATTTTTTAGTTCTAAGATTGATGGCATATAAACGTGAATTTCTAAGTTTGAATAAGGATGATAATATACAATTCCTCCATGATCATGCATTTCTGCAAGTCTTTTACGGGAAGACGAGCCATGGGGATGGAACAGCCACACCCGATATATAATTGGGTATGAAACTTTAAACGTCCACGTTATATTTATTGTGGTACCAGGACGAAATAAGAATGTTTTGTTCTTATTTAAAACTGCTATATTTCCTGTAAGCAGAAGAGTATTTTTGCATCAGAACTCATTGAAAATTCAAGAAAATTAAAATTATTTGAGTTATAATACCTTTACAAAGAGAAATAAAAATTGTAAAAAAAACAATTGCAGATGCAGCTTTCATTGTTCTTCCTAAAACGAAATAGTTTTTGCTCAAAATTATATGTAGCATTTTAAGTATCTTTTAAAAAAACAAACGTGTTTTGCATAAAAATCAAACCAAACTAGCTAAATAGTTAAGATTTAAATCAAATATTGCCATGATTGAGGCAGAGGCGGATCCAGGCTGGTGCAACTGATGCGAGTGCATCAGTCATAAAATTGAATAGTTAATGTTTCACAACATTATAACTTACAATCAATACGAGCAAAATGCAAGAAATATATCAGATTGGAACGTTTATAGTTTCTAAATGCTTTAAATACCTTAACACTGACAATATATTGACAACAAATGTACATTGATGATTGAGAAATATTGTTAAAAGCCTTCGTAGATTGTTTACATGTGACTATCATTTTGATTACAGCCGCATTATTAAAAAAATGCATCGCTAAATATGGCGTTTTTATGTGTCGAAATTTTTAGCGAAAATTTGTTTCATCATCCAGCTACACTGAGCTGAATTTGTATTACTACGTCACGGTGGCTAGATAGTGAATCACTACGTCACGGTGGGGAAAAAGTGCACCAGTTGGTGCAACAGTCCCGAGTCTCTTTGGCCGAGTGAACCACCTAAACGTCACGAATTTCATTGTTTTTTAGCCTACGTCACGGTGGGAAATCGCTGCTGACTGTTGCACTTAAGCCCGCGAACACCAAAATTTCATTCTGACTGGTGCACTTGAGCCAGCGTTATCAATCTTCAAACCTTCAAAATTATAATTACATGACTATGGCATTTGGCTTATTTATATCTTGAAGTCATCATGGCTGAAAGTAGGCCTATATACGATCTTGGCTCATTGATTCAAGGCAGTAAAACCAGCGAGATTTCTTCTGTAAGCAAGGATTATGAAGCAAAAGTCTCTGCTGCCATTCCGACTAAAACAGACCTGTTTCGAAAAGGAAAGCTGGCAAGAGATCTTAACGCAGAGTTGCTTATCCCTAAGCATATGGGAGATAATTGGCGGCTTTAAAGTAAGTAGCTTGAAGTGCTTACTGCTTACTATGCTTGACATTGTAATGCATAGCTATAGGTCTATACTTGTATTTATGTAATGCTTATGGCTTACTCTTTTTATTGTTAGGAATATGATGGGAAGGGGCACATGGGGTGTTTATTCCCTGTTGAATTTATTTAAATTTCAAAGCATCCTGACCTGCATTAACCTATTAAATCGAAATTTACTGTATTCTATTTTACAATGTCAATTTTCAAACTCCATGTCCAATATTGTTGGCTCAATGAAATTTAGCCAGTAGTATAATGCAATGCTTTGGATTTATGCCATAACTAGTGTGCACATAATTATGCATGTTGTTGTGCCAAATTTATAAAGTGTCATATAACATAAGATCACAAAACATTTTATTCACAACTATATGTTTGAATTTGGGTAATCATGCATATTTATAGTGAAGATTTCTTCGGATTAAAGTCACTGGTAGAAGTCTCTACGCACTTCCTGGAGAAATCTCCACTCTAATTGTGCTCACATGGATATTGGGATTTCAAAGTTACTTAACATACATAAAAATATAAGAGCTAATAATTTATATTACATTACTTCAGGATATTTCATAGATATATAAATATTCCATGTAATATGTTGTAATATGTGCTCAATGTGACAGACAGAGAGGGCACATTTTTCATACATTTTGCTTGTTTATAAATACTAACTTTCTGAGCTATGCAATGTGTTGAATGTAAGAGCTATGCTGGACCAACCATGTTATTCATTAGAGTTTTTCATTTTCATATTGCATGCCTAATATTGTCAATCCCCTGAAATTTAGCAAAGCAAACTGTAATTACATATTATTTCAGTCACAACAATTTCTTATTATTTCTTCCACACCTAGCTTGATAATGACTTTCATATGAAGTTGAAATATTGCTTCGAACATTCTCTGTTGCTGTTATAACTGGAATCTTGAGTTTACAAGATGATGTTTTTTGAGTGTGTGCTCTCATTTACAATCATGCACAGTGTGCCAAATTTCTAAATTTACCCTAAAACATTATGATCACATAAGGGTGGGTACACAGCAAAGCATTTCATTTACATAGATATGATGTTACTGTATGGTCTTTACATTATTATTATGATCTCAAAATTACCCACTATACATAAAGATTTTAGAGCAACAGTTCTATATTGTAATACTTTTACATATTTCATTGTATATTACATCACCATATTTTATTTTTGCATATGTGCATATGTGCATCCTGATCCTTATGTATAGAAGTCCTCACCATTGCACTTTGATTAAAGCTAGGAGGGCACATAGTATTAGCTATTAGGTACGTACTTATACTCGTCTTGAAAGCTGGTCTCATGAATTTGGTGGGAAAGTATAGCACTGGCATTACCATGCTTAGATTCAATTATCAAAAAATTTTAGATTTTATATCATTGAAATTTGCGAAAAGTTTACAAACTAAGTAAAGCCAAGTTTTTTTAATTCTGTTATCAAAACGCAGGAAATCGCATTTCCGATTGTCTAAAATACAAAATTTTCCGGAGGGCATCCTCCCAGACCCCCTACAGAGCTAGCGCCTTTGGTGCTCGCAGTGGTGCATCAGTCACGAAAATTGCTGGATCCGCCCCTGGATTGAGGGATCTAACGGTCTATATTGCTTGAATGGTTTTGTGTTGATAATCTTATTTGATTTGAATAATCCTGGACATAATTCAGACATTTCCATTATTACTCATTAGCTATAAAACCATTGTTTTTTTTCGGGTGTAGACATTTTACAAGAGGTTTTTTTGCCTACAATCTTAACTACTAGCTTTAAGCCACATATGAGTTAATCTAATCAAAACAATTTATATTTTCCTGAGTCTGTTTATCGGGATCCAAGTAAGTGGGGTTATTTTATGAATTAGAAGAAGGTCAATATATTAAATTAAATTATATTCTAGAGTTAAGTTTGCTTGAAGAAGGTAACTATAAAACATTCGGAGAACATTGTCAGTTTTATACTTATCACATAGAAAGTTTTCTTCTCAAAGATATGATACTAAAGGAAATGCATATGATAGACTTTGACGCTGTTTAAAAATAACTTTTTTAAAACGATTTGAAATTGACGTTGTGCATAGCACATAACATCAGGAAATATGGAAGTATTATATTCAGAAAAAATTTAATTGTAAATATACAGTTACTTAATGTCATGCTTTGATCATTATAACAAGAATTGTGATATGTGCTTGCTTTTTCTTTTATTCTAGAAACATATAAAATGCTGGCAGTAATGCTGGTATGGACAAAATACCTTGTACTGTGTTACGTGAAATGAGTAAAAGTGCGGACAAATGTTTTTGCAATTGCTGACCTTTCACCCCTTTGAATACAAGTACATGTAATGCAGTGAATGTCACCCAAATGACGTATGCTCAAATTTCATAGCAAGAACTTCCCGTAAAAATGTGCACAAAATACAACTCAAACTCTGACTCTTTCTCTTAGCGGCTAGCACTTGGTATACATCAGTATTCTACAGTTGTAATACAACGAAAGTTTTCGGTAGAACTTCGTCACTTTATCTGCTGTTTGTTTAAGATTTGTATGTTTTTGCCGTATATGCAAGCTGTGCATCTAAAAATTTATGTGGGCAGACAAAAGAGTAGTTGCAAATTTAAATTATAAGTTACTATGCAAACTAGGCTTTAAAAACAGTATCATAACACTAAACGCACAGAAAAAAACAAAAGATCAACAAACGTTTTAGCGATAACAACTCAAAAACTACAATTTCAAGGTTGTAAAACTAACTGCAGAAATTAAACGACTGAAAGTTTGATAGATTCAGAAAATAATTCGACAAGTCAAGGCCAACTGAACAACTATATCGTATCAAAGATAGTTTGATAAAAGACTATTCAGCTCAAACTAAGAAAAAACGCGGCAAAATTGATAAAACATGTTTTAATTAAAATACAAAGAAAAAGAGACCTTACTTTCTACTTTCGGTAACTCCTCCAAGATCTTGTTTCCAAATAATGGCAACATGTACAAGTACTGATAAATTATGAAAGTCAATATTTACTTTACACTTGATACTTTCATTTGTGAGACAGGGAGTTGAAGTTTCAGACGTTTTCGTGACTTTTATAGAATATTTCTTCTTTAATAACAATCAACGTCTTTCGCTTTGACAAACAAACATACAGGAGCTGTCAACAGCGTAAAGATAAAACTTAACATATATATACAAGTTAATTCACCCAAACAGATAACAAATGTTGACAACTGACTAGTTGTTTGCCTAAATGCAAAGTTTCTAAAACAGTTCTTTTCCGAACTCTTGATGTTTTCTTTGTTTTCTCTGTTTAGTTTTTTCTCGGTTTTATCTAGGGTTTCGTGGTTTTTATTTGGTTTCAGTCCATTCGCTATGGCAATTGCTCTCTTTAAGGCGATATTCAAATTTGTCACCACGACAAAATCTCTGTTTTATAGATTGCGATGATGTGTTGCCTAAGAGCGTGAAAGAGAGTTGGGAGAGGTTGCAGAGAAATGACATTGCCTAGGTAAGGAAAACCCTGCAGATTTTGGGTAAGGAGGAGTGTTGGTAAGAGAGTTGAAAAATAATATATTATGGTGGTCAAGACCATCTTGGTTGCGTGCGTAGTAGTCCCGAATATTATCCTATTGCAGTTATCGTATAGAATAGTTTTGGTGTTGTTTGTAGTATTTTTGTCCTTTTTCTTTAGTTGTGAGTATATGATGGGTATGTCGATATTTCTTTTTATTGTGTCGTTGTTCTTACTGTACCAAGCTTCTTTAAATTTGCGTGCGTGTTTAGTCTGTGTGCGTCCGAGTACTTTAGTTTCTGTCCAGTCGAATGTGTGGTTGTTTCCGTGGGTATGTTCTGCCGGTAGTGAGTTCGGATCTCGTCGTTTTATGGCGTTTTTGTGTTCTGTGAGTCTTGTTTCGATTTTCTTTGATGTTTGTCCTATGTATTGCTTTGAACAGTCTTTACATGGTATCATGTAGATCGCGTCAGTTGTATCATGAATTGTTGTTTTGTCTTTATGTTTGGTGAAACATGATTTGAGTTGATGTCTGATGGTGTGAGGTGAATTTTTGACTAATGGATACAGGATGTTATAAAGATATTTTGAAAGTTCATACGTAGGTGATCCTGAAAGTGATACGATAGGTCGAAGTGGGTTGTTTTCTTTGTGGAATTTTGGTAGTCCGTAGAATTTGGCAGTGGATGCGTCATTAGGTCGGATTCTTATGTAATCGTTTTCGGTAGTTTCTTTTTGTCTTTTAGTTGTTTCAGTTTCTGGTTGATGCGGTTGGTGGTCGTTTTTGCTGGGGTCTGTGTGGAGAAGTTCGTAGGTGGTGGTGTCTTGTAGGAGGATTTTGGCTTTGTCGATGTATTCTGATCTGTCCATGATAACTGCTTTGCGTCCTTTGTCAGCTCGTAATATGATTATTTCGTCGTCGTTTTTAGGTATTTAAGTGCTCGTAGTTCTTTGTTGTTTTGGTCTGTTAAGTTGGTGTACTTTAAAGCTGATTCCAGGTCGGCAACGTAGTCAAGTTTCATGTTTGTAAATGATGATCGTCCAGGTTAAGTCCTGAGAAGGACTGTTTTGTTATTGTCGACTGACGTTTCGACAACCTTAGCGGTAGTCATCTTCAGAGTCTACCGCTAAGGTTGTTGAAAAGTCAGTTAACAACAACAAAAACAGTCCTTCTCAGGACTATACCAACCTGGGCGATCTACATTTACAAACATGTAACGATACTCCCGGGTTCGAGCCATTTACTTTAAGTTCGTCAAGTTTGTTCGCGTCTTTGAAGTTGTAATGTAATCCTTTGTTTAAAATTTTAGTTTGCTGTGCAGTTAGTGGTTTTCTCGAGATGTTTGTGACAAATTCGTTTGTGTTAGGATGGAGTTGTTTGTAAGATCTGGATTCTTGTAATTTTCGATGAACATATTTATGTGTATTTTATGTGTATTTTATTTATGTATCTTATACATATTTATGTGTATTTTAAAATTGCCATTACCATTAACTAAAGGAATGTCTCTCATGTTAATTGAAAGAAATTTTGCCTCCAGAATGATATACAATACAGTAAAAAAAAAAGGAAGGATTCATTCCTTGTGACACATAAGAGCAAAAAGACTGTTTATGCTTGAATCAGTAATAAAGAACTGCTTTTTAATCAATGAACGTAATAAGACAAATCGATAACAAAATTTGGCTAAATAAACTACCAAAATTCAATTAAGCCTGAGACTGTCCTTGGAACAGAATTACTGCCATCGTTAACATATAAATATTGAATTATTTTGTCATCCAAATATTGTAAAAACGACCTATTTCACCGTTTCGTCTTTTTACTCTTATTCCTTTTCTTATGAATCTGCACTTGTATACTTCATGTGACATACAATTAAAACGTACGTACTTCGCAAGTATTCTATCCAAACTTCAAATTGGCCGGAAGTTTGTCTTGTGCGTAGTGTATATTCAAAGTTATCACAATTAACTTCATCCGACGGAAAACCAATATGGGTACATGGAAGTCATAACGTTGAACTCGAAATTCATACATCATATCATCATAGCGAATAAAACCAAACGGCTTATTTAACGCTTTGTCTTTGTCGAAGCGTTTAGACTAAAAATGTTTACTTTATACGGAGTGTCAGTTGTCTTATGTTTCAGCATCGTTTCTTACTTTTGATGAAAAAATATGACTTGTACAAACAAAATTTGCCTTTATGGAAATATTATTCTTGTGACATCCTTTTACGCAGAATTATAATATATATAAAGATTCACTTTAATATGGCAAAAAATTATCATCGATTTCCACTCAATGTACTACCTTTCTTCTTAGGTACTTTATTTTCAAAAGCACAAACAAAGGCATTTTAACTGAAGAAATGCTCAATGATTTTCTCACAATTTGAAATTCAAAATCGCCGTAATTTTCGTACTGCGAATTCAATGAACGGCGGATGGCGTCTCCAAGTGGTATGAATACTTAAGCAAACACCTTACAGCAAAACAATCTTTTTTCTTAAGACTTACAACAGCAAGTACACATGTGCATTGACAATAAAACGAAATACGAAATGTAACTCACACAGATATTTTGGCTTGTTTCTTTGGATTGTTTCTTGTTTCTTGTCTCTTGTATTTTATACGTTGACAATGTCGTCGTCAACAACACAATGAAAATGCCCTTATTTAATATTTAATTTCGTAGATGAAAGTGTGATCTTCTGAAGTGCTCGATCGGTCTTTTAGCAACTAAACGAACAAACTGAACATTTAACAGCAGGGCGTAATCTAATTCTTAATTGAATACCATAAAGTTCATATGGAAATAAGTACTTGAAGGCAAATTAATTGCAAATCACAGGAATACATTTTAAAATGTTTGTTTTACATTTGTCTGTTTGCATTATTGCTGTTTTCTAAAGAAATAAAAGATGATTGTGTTTGCACTGGCTTAGGTAAATCAAGGAGACTTTATGAGAAGTATCAGGCGGGTGAAAGGTGCAACGGTCGACAACTCGACCTTCGGTCTCAAGCTTTCACTGATTTTCTCTCAAGTTCTCCTAAGTCTCCTCAGTTTGTATAAGTCTTTATATAAAAACATAAATAACTAAAATAAGTCAGAAAACTATGTAGAGACAGGCAGACTGAGGTCAAGTCAAGGTCACCAAAAAAGTATTCGTAAAAATAAAATGTTGTGTATTGAAATTTTCAAAAGATGAAAGGTCTATTTCTTTGACCATCCTGTGCAAACATATATTTTATATATTTTTGAAAAACAAGATGAGAAGAGCTATGACTTGTGTAATGGTAACAATACCATTATCCAGACAGGACACAGTAGTTAGTGGAACTAAGGGGCTGTTTACATGAGCCCGGCAAGCCGGGCTAAAAGCCGGGCTAAGAGATGTAGCCGAGGCGCCCGGCCTCATAAGAACTTCCTAATAAAATATAATTTAGTTTACATGAGCCCGGTTTGCCGAGATCCCGTTTGAGCTAGCCGGGGAGCCCGGTTAAACGGGGTAATTTTTTCCATGCAAACACGTCAGCCCGGCTGACCGGGCTTAAAGTAGAATTACCATAGTAACTAGATACGTTCATTCTTCGTTCTTTTGTGTAATGGCGTCGGACACATGTGCTCAATCAAGGTCAGTAATTACAAAAACAAGACCTTTTCGATGGTCACATGAAATGATCGAACTTCTTATCAATAACATCGAAACATACAAAACAATGTGCGAGTACGAAGGTAAAGATTTCGATGCAGATCGCACGAAACAATACGAATGGATAAGAGGTAATACTGTACTTCGTAAAGACTGTAAAGCTTTTGTTATTTTATGTACTTCTGGTTGAATTTTGCGCACAAGTATGCTTAATAAGCTTTTAAATTTGTAGTTTAATACCACTCTGAATGATTCTTTTATATTTTTTATCTTGACAGTGCAAATGTTAGAGATGTATAGTGATCACTTTGGTCCAGCAGAAGCCGATATACCACATGCCATGGAAATGTCAAAAGATGAAAAAGAAGCTTATGTTAAAGATTTAAAAGTTCAACGTGACTTTATCAAAAAGGGGTATTGTCGAATTCAAGAAAAAGTTAAAGAAATACGTCAAAATTTTAGCACTGCTGTAACCAATGGTAAAAGAAGTGGCAGCGGTAAAATCGTGTTTGAATTCTACGATAGGCTGGCCAAGATATATGGTGGCTCAGCATCAGCTTCACCTCTAAGCATTGGAGTAGACACTAATACATTTAGTACCATAAACCAAGAGCAATGTGATGAAATTGGGCTAACTATAACAGATGAAAGCCATGATGGTTCAGATTTATCATCCAATGATTCACTGGATACCAGCTCTGGAAGTGTATCTTTGGGTGATAAGCGGGGTGCAGAAGATGCATGTGTTAAGTTAATCGACAATAAAAGAAAGCATATGGAGCACCCTCAGTGCGGCTCAACGAGATCAATTCTCCTTAAAGAAAGCAAACATGAAATGAATTTTAGGAAAGAAATGACAGATGTTGTTAGAGAATCCTCGAGGAATGCAACTGCAGCAATTACACACATGAGTACGGCCATTGAAAATATTGGATCAGGATTGACACGATCAATTGAGATGTTAGCTTCGGTGATTGCCAACGAGCAGCAGCAGCAGTATCAACATCCACGATATCAACACCCCCGATATCAACATCCACAATATCAACACTCACAATATCAGCAGCCACAATATCACCAACGATTGTCAATACCTGCACGGCAACAAATGCAAAACAACTCTGGTCATCATATAATCCAGATGACCCTGCAGTGTAGCTATATAATGTATTCACACTCCAAAAGGTATTTACTTTAGAGTATGAGCAGATGACACTATGGCTGTACTTGGCATTGAAACTTAAGACATTGTTAGCAACAGTAACTTTTGTGTCACTATATTATTAAATTTTTCAGTTCCTCTTTTGACATATTATTTCACTCAGAGACCCTGTATGTTCAATAACCCATATAAGCACTTACATCACTTGTGAAATTTCTAGTTTCTACTGTAGTATTTGTAGTTTGCAATCCCATTTTCTGATAATGTATGTTTAAAAGAGGCTTAATGGGTTCTTGTTGTTTTGTTGAGTTGTTTTAATAGGGACAAAGTATTAACATTTTGTAACATGCTTGTTTTTTTTTGTATATTTCCTATTTGAAACAATTTTGTTTACCTTAACAAACTATATATATCATAAAGTTTTACAATTGCATGAAAGTGTAGACTTCATTTACTTATTAATCTGTTACCAAATGATCAGGAAGATTTAACTTAATGTAAGTAGTCAAAACAGTTCTAACAACTCCTCCTTCCCCTTCATTGCTAGAATACTTTGCCAAAGGATTTCCATTTTCTTGCACCTCCTTTAACGAAATTTGTTTTTCAACTAAGCTGTGGTCAATTCCAGTCTTATTTTGTTCACAATAGTTGTGAAGAACAAAGCATGAGTAAATTATTACTGGTACATTTTCTAATTTTACATCGATCTGCTTACTTAAAACTGACCATCTAGCTTTAAGCCTTCCAAATGAGCATTCAATTGGGTTTCGGGCTGATCGCTACAAATTATTAAATAGAACCTCTTGGTTTGTTGTGCATGTTTGGTATTCTTTCATGCAATACGGCAAAAGAGGATAGGCTGGGTCCCCAATTAAATAGTTTGGGATTTCTGCATGACCTAGCACTAGTCGTTTGTAAGTAACTGGAAGTAGACCATTGCTCAACTTTCTATTTATAGAAGAGTTGGCAAACACTTTCGCATCGTGGACACTTCCTGGCCATCTGCAATCTACATCCATGAAACGACCTTGAAAATCACAAACAGCTTGAACACTCAAGGAATAAAACTGTTTATAATTAAAATATTCTTGAGAGTTACAAACTGGTCTTTTAATTCGTACATGAGTTCCATCAATGCATCCAAATGCTTGGGGCATCCCAAATTTTGCTTCAAATTCAGCAGATTTTGTCTCATTTCGTCTTTACTCATTGGCAAATGTATGTATTTCGGGCCGAGATGCTTCGCAATGGCATAACTGACTTGTACTACATGTCTAGAAACAGTACACAGCGCCACACCAAAAGTATTTGCTGTCATTGCCATAGAGCCGGTGTCCTTCAAAAAATACAAGGTCATAGCCAACTTTTTCTGCGCTCAAAGCCATATAATTTGGAGAAGAAAGATCTGGGGATATAAAAGGCCGTAGTTCGTCAGCTAGTTTTTTAAATTCTTCCCGGCTCATTCGAAAATTTTTTTTCCACGTATCAAGTGGCATTTCGTTAGATAAAAGCTTTGCCCACCAAGATTCTGTCCTTCCATTTTGCCTCCAAGTTGACCTCCGCTTTTGTTGTTTCTTTTGCAAAGCACGCTCGTCTTCTTTTCGAGCGAAACAACTTCTTGTAGCACACAATAATATAGCCATACATTGTACCATTTGATGATGGTTTAATATATTGATGACCAAAAAGCCGTAAATTTGAATGAAAACGATCAAAAAAACAAAAATTAATACAATAATCGTTATAAGTGCAGAAACGTTCGCCATGTTAGGTTTTTTAATTTTCGCGCGAAAAACACCAGCGACTTCTCGCGCGATTATTGCCATGTAAAGTCGGGCTTAAAATTAGCCCGGCTAGCAGGGCTAGCCCGGCTTGCCGGGCTCATGTAAACAGCCCCTAAGGAAGGTGGGACAAACCTGATAAGGAACTGTTTAGTTACACAACGTGACTGGGCAGATTAAGCAAATGTTTCCGGATCTCGTGGTGTGTGGATAATGTCTTTGTTGACTGTGGCAACAGATAAATCATAAGACCACAAGAGATTTTTGTTAAGGACTGAATTTAAATTTTGTGTATAGGTGTAACACAGGTGTAACATAATAACGTTCATTATCTCTGATACTTCATTAAAAGAAAATTTAAGCAAATGGCTCTTTTATAGCAAACTTTAGCTCTAACCACACAATGCAATTAACATCTCGACCTTCGCCTTAGAGTTAATGGAAATGTTTAATTCAATTTATCCAATGCTCAATCAAAATGCTCCAATCTTGTTATCGTATGTATTTTAGTATTTCTATAATTTCGTAAAAGCACTATTGCCAACACACATTTAACTTTTTGAAAATAGACATGTTTCGACATGTCATGATGCCATCTTCAGTGTGAGTGAAATAATACAAGGTTTATATAAAAGTAATATGATACATAAATTACAACAATAAAAAGAAAATAAGATAAATTAATGAGGAGCGTCAGAGCGTATTATAAACTAAATATTGTATTGAATTTAAAAACTTGAACCTTGAGGTCAGGGTTAGTTTTGTTAATGTGGAGTGCTTCTTTGATTTTAAGGGTGAATGAGGTGTCGGCAGTGTAGATGATTTTGAAACAAGAGGGTGAATAGTTGGTTTTGCATGAGTCGGTAGATATGAGAGTTTTTGTCTGTTGTGGTATGTTCCCTCATTCTGGTGGATAAATGGCGCGAAGTTTCGCCAATGTATCGGGAATTACATCCCGCGCAATTGAATCCATGTACCACCATAGATTTAATTGAATCAGGGATTGGGTCTTTGAATGAGAAAAGGTTTTTGATTTTGAATGATGTGAAAATTAGTCGAATGTCAATATCTGTACAGAAGCGTTTCATAATGTTTGTAAGTCTGCGTTGTGTGTGTTGGGAGTAATGTCCGATGTATGGTAGTTTGAAGTATAGAGTTGTTATTTTGGAAATGAAAATTCCCGATACATTGGCGAAATTTCGCATCCATACCACTAGACACAGCCAAACAAATTACAAACGAACTACTC